GGTTCCGGTGGAACTTGGCGTCCCTCCCATCGGAATGGGGGGTTACAAGTTTTTCCGTTAGGACCAAACAATCCCCCCCTCGGGGAGGGGGGCGGTCTCCGGCAGAAAGAGCTCCATCTCCAACGGGAATGGATGTCCCGCTGTCTCCCACGGCGTGCGATCTAGAACCAGCACACGCGCCTCTGCTTGCATACACTCATACATTGGATTGTCATTGCCTGTGAGTGCGAGATAGGGCTGGCCGCTGGCGGCTAGCCCCTGAGGAGAGTGACCAGAGACACCTCACATGACCCCACACACGGTCTAGTCCGGCCTCGCGGTCGGCGGAGATTGCTAGAGGACGAGCAAGCCTGCTCTAGCCTCGCACGTTGCTTCCTGTCGTCTGTTGTTTGTTGTGCCCTTGTTTGTTTCTCTTGGCACCTTGGAGAGTGCTGGGGGGGGCGACAGGAAGAATGTGGCCCTGAGTTATGTGTACGCCAACTCAGGGTGTGTGGCAGCCAGCTGGCTGTGTGTCTTGTGAGCTTGTTTGTGTCTGTGTGTCGTTCGTGCGTGTCGTCATCATCTGTCTCGCGTCCACCCATACCGCGTTGGTGTCCAGTCCGAGCCTGGCTGTTCTTCACCTTTCTACCTACCTACCTACCTGACTCGCGCCAAAACGCCCTACCTACCTACCTATCCCCAGGCCGCGCAGCGAAGCGAAAAAAGATGAAAATATGGGCTACCTACCTATTGCAGGGCCCTTTTGGGCCAAACAAGACCAACCTACCTACCTATCTGGGTGGGAGGGGCCAGCCAGTGCCGACAGACCCCCTATCCGGGTAGGAGCCGGAACCCTGGTTTCTCTTTGCGTTCTCGCGCATGGAGTGAGGGGTATCTCGACTGGCTGTTCTTCACCTTTCTACCTACCTACCTACTGTTGCCATCCCAAACTGTCACTCCCCTTTCTCCCGGCCGGGGTGGGGCGCGCGCGGGGGCGGCGGGTGTGCGGGATGTCTGTGGGCCCGAGAGCGATGCGTCATGGGTGTGTGTCCGCCTTGCGTTTGTTTCATAACATGAGGCTAGCTCAAAAAAGAAAGAACGAATGGAGGCCGCCGCATTCGTACTGATAGTAAACGGGTCAGAACCGGCCAAACACAGGCTACAGCCCCACACACGCGCCCGCCATAGCTCCTGGAGAGCATGCGCGAGTGACGCGCTACAAGCTGCGAGAGTGGCATCAGAGGCAGGAACGACGTGCTCTTGCTGCACCTCGCAGCTGCACCGGAGTGTGCTCGCTCGCAGTGTATGCCACGGCCGCCGCCTGCGGCAGTGCTCTCGTGCAGCTAGGCGACGCAGGTCCATCAGCAGGGCTCATCCAATGCGAGCGCACATGTGCGTAGCCGCGGGCAGGTGGCAGTGCACAGCCGCACACCGGCTGTGGCGGCTCGAATGCCCCCGGCAGCAATGCTGGTCATTAACTTGCGTACTAGGCAGTATGCTCAGGGTGGGACAAAACACCGACAGACGAGAGAAGAGGCCACAAAACAGACAAGCAGAATGGCAAGAGAGAGACGCTCTGCAGGCGAGCCCACGGGCCTCTTGGGCCCTCGCGTCTCTCTCTCTCGATTCGTTACACCGATTCGACCATCAATGTAATGCGGCGGGCCGATTTCGACCCATCACAAATGTGGGAAGCCATTAACCTCCCTTGGCTTCCCACACAAACCCCCCTTCATGGGGGGAGCAGCAAATGAGGTAGTCTCTGCGAAATCACAGTGAATTCGCCCTAGAGGCTTCCGTGTGGACTCGCAGCTCCGGCTGGATGTCGGCGACCTAAAGCTCGGCGGTCGTCGCTTCGCGCCGGCCGACTCCCTGTAGGACGGCGACCGCCTCCACTGTGAACCACTTTTGATGCCTAATCTCAAAGTATAGCCAGGGGGGATACCCGTAGCCCCCAAAGTGAACTGCCTGATCGACTCCCCGGCACACGGCGGAGGAGGAGGAAGACAGCACAACCCCATCGCCAATCCTGTCGAGGTCGATCCACCGTCTCGCGCGTGAATCGGCCGCGACCTCCACCTCGAGGCGAGGGCCCACCCTTGTGTCGAGTGCCCCTCCAATAGCTCAGTAGAAGCGCGACGTCTTCTACGGCCGCGACCATCACCATCGTAGGTCCTTGCACTGCGACTGCGCCACCGGCCAAGCTCCAGTGCGGTTGACCCCCATCCAGGAACTGCCCGACGATAGGGCTGTCGCCTCATCCATGCCGCTGACCGCGCCCAGCAGCGGGTGCTCGCCGCTGTCCACGGACGCGGCTCGTCAGGCGGCGCGGTGCCGCCGGCTGCAGCGACGGCTGTCCCGGCCGTCGCGTCCTCGAGAGAGGCGAGCGAGCCGGCAGCAGAGCCCGCATGGCCCTCACCGCCACAGCCGCTCTGCCTGCTGACCTCGCTCTCGCCGCCGCCGCCTGCAGCGGCGCCTCCGCGGCTCCGAGAGGACCCGGCCCGCGGCCGCGCCTCGTCGAGCGCCTCGTCGACGCCCTCGGCGACGCCTCCTCGCGTCGCGTGCCCGTGCGTGGCGACCGCACCGCCGGCAGAGCTCGAGTGGCCCTCCACGCCACCCCGAGACTGCCCGGCGATGGTGCTTTCGTCGCCGCGCGTTGCCGTCGCTGCCTCGCAGCGGCTCTGTGCCTCGGCGCCGAGCCGAGACATGCCAGGCGGCCCGCCGCCGCCCACCGAGACGAGGCCCGTCCCCTCGTCGTGCACCGCGTCGCTCGCGCCTCCGCCAAAGCGATCTCGATCACGCTTTGCGGCGACGGCGCCATCGACGCCGGCTTGAGCCGCTGCTCTCGCCCAGCAGCGGTTGCTCGCCGCTGTCCACGGACGCGGCTCGTCAGGCGGCGCGGTGCCGCCGGCTGCAGCGACGGCTGTCCCGGCCGTCGCGTCCTCGAGAGAGGCGAGCGAGCCGGCAGCAGAGCCCGCATGGCCCTCACCGCCACAGCCGCTCTGCCTGCTGACCTCGCTCTCGCCGCCGCCGCCTGCAGCGGCGCCTCCGCGGCTCCGAGAGGACCCGGCCCGCGGCCGCGTCTCGTCGAGCGCCTCGTCGACGCCCTCGGCGACGCCTCCTCGCGTCGCGTGCCCATGCGTGGCGGCCGCACCGCCGGCAGAGCTCGAGTGGCCCTCCACGCCACCCCGAGACTGCCCGGCGATGGTGCCTCCGCCGCCGCGCGTTGCCGCCGCTGCCTCGCAGCGGCTCTGTGCCTCGGCGCCGAGCCGAGACATGCTCGGCGGCCCGCCGCCGCCCACCGAGACGAGGCCCGCCCCCTCGTCGTGCACCGCGTCGCTCGCGCCTCCGCCAAAGCGATCTCGATCACGCCTTGCGGCGACGGCGCCATCGACGCCGACTTGAGCCGCTGCTCTCGCCCAGCAGCGGGTGCTCGCCGCTGTCCACAGGCGCGGCTTGTCAGGCGGCGCGGTGCCGCCGGCTGCAGCGACGGCTGTCCCGGCCGTCGCGTCCTCGAGAGAGGCGAGCGAGCCGGCAGCAGAGCCCGCATGGCCCTCACCGCCACAGCCGCTCTGCTTGCTGACCTCGCTCTCGCCGCCGCCGCCTGCAGCGGCGCCTCCGCGGCTCCGAGAGGACCCGGCCCGCGGCCGCGCCTCGTTGAGCGCCTCGTCGACGCCCTCGGCGACGCCTCCTCGCGTCGCGTGCCCGTGCGTGGCGACCGCACCGCCGGCAGAGCTCGAGTGGCCCTCCACGCCACCCCGAAACTGCCCGGCGATGGTGCCTCCGCCGCGGCGCGTTGCCGCCGCTGCCTCGCAGCGGCTCTGTGCCTCGGCGCCGAGCCGAGACATGCCAGGCGGCCCGCCGCAGCCCACCGAGACGAGGCCCGCCCCCTCGTCGTGCACCGCGTCGCTCGCGCCTCCGCCAAAGCGATCTCGATCACGCTTTGCGGCGACGGCGCCATCGACGCCGACTTGCGCCGCTGCTCTCGCCCAGCAGCGGGTGCTCGCCGCTGTCCACGGACGCGGCTCGTCAGGCGGCGCGGTGCCGCCGGCTGCAGCGACGGCTGTCCCGGCCGTCGCGTCCTCGAGAGAGGCGAGCGAGCCGGCAGCAGAGCCCGCATGGCCCTCACCGCCACAGCCGCTCTGCCTGCTGACCTCGCTCTCGCCGCCGCCGCCTGCAGCGGCGCCTCCGCGGCTCCGAGAGGACCCGGCCCGCGGCCGCGCCTCGCCTAGCGCCTCGTCGGCGCCCTCGGCGACGCCTCCTCGCGTCGCGTGCCCGTGAGCGGCGACCGCACCGCCGGCAGAGCTTGAGCGGCCCTCCACGCCACCCCGAGACTGCCCGGCGATGGTGCCTCCGCCGCCGCGCGCTGCCGCCGCTGCCTCGCAGCGGCTCTGTGCCTCGGCGCCGAGCCGAGACATGCCAGGCGGCCCGCCGCCGCCCACCGAGACGAGGCTCGCCCCCTCGTCGTGCACCGCGTCGCTCGCGCCTCCGCCAAAGCGATCTCGATCACGCTTTGCGGCGACGGCGCCATCGACGCCGACTTGAGCCGCTGCCCTCGCCCAGCAGCGGGTGCTCGCCGCTGTCCACGGACGCGGCTCGTCAGGCGGCGCGGTGCCGCTGGCTGCAGCGACGGCTGTCCCGGCCGTCGCGTCCTCGAGAGAGGCGAGCGAGCCGGCAGCAGAGCCCGTATGGCCCTCACCGCCACAGCCGCTCTGCCTGCTGACCTCGCTCTCGCCGCCGCCGCCTGCAGCGGCGCCTCCGCGGCTCCGAGAGGACCCGGCCCGCGGCCGCGCCTCGTCGAGCGCCTCCTCGACGCCCTCGGCGACGCCTCCTCGCGTCGCGTGCCCGTGAGCGGCGGCCGCCCCGCCGGCAGAGCTCGAGTGGCCCTCCACGCCACCCCGAGACTGCCCGGCGATGGTGCTTTCGCCGCCGTGCCTTGCCGCCGCTGCATCGCAGCGGCTCTGTGCCTCGGCGCCGCGCCGAGACATGCCAGGCGGCGTGATGCCGCCCCAGCAAATCCTGTCGTCCGCAGCGTCAAGACTAACTTGAGCAAGTATTGGCTCTGCCTCCACATCGCAGTCGCTCCAACCTCTGCCAGCTCCCTTGACGCTGCTCCGTGCTGTAGCGATCTCCTTGAGAGATCCGCTAAGCCCATGCGTTGCGGCCTCTTTACCGTCAGCGTGTTCCAGCCTACCAGAATCACGTATCGGAACCACTTCCCGACGACGAATATGGTTGACGCTCGAACACGTTGCTGTTGCTTCTGGAGGTGGCCTTCCACCCCCGTGCCAACCCCTTCCAACCCCAACAAAACACCGACAGACGAGAGAAGAGGCCACAAAACAGACAAGCAGAATGGCAAGAGAGAGACGCTCTGCAGGCGAGCCCACGGGCCTCTTGGGCCCTCGCGTCTCTCTCTCTCGATTCGTTACACCGATTCGACCATCAATCGGCGGGCCGATTTCGACCCATCACAAATGTGGGAAGCCATTAACCTCCCTTGGCTTCCCACACAAACCCCCCTTCATGGGGGGAGCAGCAAATGAGGTAGTCTCTGCGAAATCACAGTGAATTCGCCCTAGAGGCTTCCGTGTGGACTCGCAGCTCCGGCTGGATGTCGGCCGTCGGCGACCTAAAGCTCGGCGGTCGTCGCTTCGCGCCGGCCGACTCCCTGTAGGCTCCGCGAGCGCCGAGCGTTTTCCAAGTTTTTCAAACAGTCGCAAAAAATCTTCTCAGAGCGTGTCTAAGTTATTAGACTTGTCGGTAGAGCCGTAGACTTGTGCAGGGCCAGGGGGGGCCGGGGGCTTGGAGGGCGTTTGCGGACAGTCACAGACTTTCGCCCCCCGTTGCTCGCGCGCGAGTGGACACCGACGCCGTCACGCCGTCACGCGCTCTACCTACATCGTGGGCGCCTGTGTGCTATGCTGGCATGACGAGCCGCGCGAAGGGGGCCAGGAACCGCAACACCGGCGCGTCTTCAGTGTACATGGGTGCCGCTCTCGCTGCTTTCGCCTCCCTCTCGACCTCTGCAGCTGTCACACAAACGGGGTGTAGAAGTCTGGAAAGGAGCCAGGGGCCGCCCCTCCACAGGCAAGCCAGGCCCTCCCTCAGGCCGCCTTTGTCTTGAAATCGTCGGCGGCGAACTCGTTGGTCGCCCTGGCCGCCGCCTCCAGCGACGCCGCGTCCCCGGCCTCAAACTTGCCCGCCTTGGCCGCCATGAAAGCAACCTGCTCACACCGCCGCGCGTGAAGAGGCGCTCTTCACGGCGGCTGCGCACCTCAAACCGCCCGTCGAGGCCACCGCGATCGACATGCCCGCGGCGACAGCCGCTGCGTACGCGCCCTTTTGCTGCGCGTTGCCGTGCAGCTTCTCGTGCTCGCCCGGCTTCTTGTTGCCCGAGACGTGCTCCGCGTAGGCGTGCGGAGGAGCGCCGCCGGCCGGGTGGGCGAGCGGGACCTGTGATGTATACCCGAGATGTAGCCGAGATGTAGCCGAGATGTAGCCGAGATAGCAGCCGGGTGGGCGAGCGGGACCTGCAGGACGAGCCGGTCGCTCTCCGCCTGCGGGGATGGTTCCGAGAAGGTTCTTGAGAGGGGGGAGCATTGAGAGGCGCAGTGCATGCTGGACACACACACACACACACACACACACACACACACACACACACACACACACACACACACACACACACACACACACACGTCTGCGGCTGCGGGTGGGTCGGACCCGCAGCAGGGAAGAGAAGGCGCTGTCGAGACAACAGCCTGGCATACAAGTGCTGTCGAGACAGCCTGGGATGCAGGGTGTGCTCTCTCGGCATCTGCAGCCCGAGAGCGCAGACAAGTGAGAGAGAGAGAGAGAGAGAGAGAGAGAGAGAGAGAGAGAGAGAGAGAGAGAGAGAGAGAGAGAGAGAGAGAGAGAGAGAGAGAGAGCTGGGAGACAGGGTGTGCTCTCTCGGCATCTGCTGCCCGAGAAGCCTCGCGCGGGACGGCGCTGACGAGGTGGCGGCCGTTGGGGTGGGGGGCGCCGGAGGCGTCGAGGTTGGAGAAGGAGAGGACGGCGCCCGGCGTCGGGGAGACGGCGACGCCCGCCTGACCACCACGCGCACCCTGTGAAGGGACGCCACACTCCGAGGTCGGAGGGAGCGGCGGCGGCGCGCCTCGGGAAAGATTGTCTGACCGGCGGGGTGGGCGGGGTCGGAGCCGGTGAGGTAGAGGACGAGCGTCGCGTTGGGCACCACCCCGTGCCGGTCCTCGTCGCCGTGCTTCCCCACCGGCGGCGCGCCGGGAAGATACCGGATGAGAGGCAGGCCGGCCGCGACGAGTCGCGAGGTGTCGACGCGCCACGCCTCGCCGAGCCGCGCGACGAGGGCCTCGGCGAGCGGGTCGCCCGCCACCGGGACGAAGGCGCACCGCTTCGACTCAAACTCGTCCACCTGGCCGATGCACGGCGCGTACGCCGCCTCGTCGGCCGGCACTTTTGTTCGCAGGTGCTTCACCTCGGCGGGCGAGAGGAAGCCTTTGGTGAGCCAGATGTCGGGCGAGGAGGAGAGGCGCTCCGTGGGGACGGTCGGCTGCGCGAGGTCGGAGGAGGAGGAGTAGGCGGCGCTCGCGAGGCCGAGGGAGAGCATGTGCAGGCGTGTGTGGCTGCGGCCGGCAAACTCGCAAGAAGAATTCTGAGGCGCACGGCAAGGGCGCGGACTCGCCCGTCTAGCGTCCACCCATACCGCGTTGGTGTCCCAGTCGTTGGTCGGACTGTGTTTCGCCTTCCCATCAATCGCGGACTGGCGCGGACTGGCACACACACAAGAAGAATTCTTCCTGCAGCCTCTCTCACAGACAGCACACTGGCACGACAAGGGCGCGGACTGGCGCGGACTGACTGGCACACACACAAGAAGAATTCTTCCTGCAGCCTCTCTCACAGCACACTGGCACGACAAGGGCGCGGACTGGCGCGGACTGGCACACACACCGGCTCACCACCGGAGCCGCCTAAGCGACTCCGTTAAGAACGGCAATGCATTCCGCACCGTGCACAATGCCGCTCTCCCCGCACGCTAGCTCGTTCACCGTTCTGCCACGCCACGGCGGTGTGGAGGACGACAGACAAGCAAGAAGAATTTAATCCATAACTCTCTCTCACAGCAGACAGGCTCGACACAGGTGCGAACTGGCGCGTGCTAGTACTATCACAGCACACAGGCACACCACCGGAGCCGCCTAAGCGACTCCGTTAAGAACGGCAATGCACTTAGCACCGTGCACAAATGCCGCTGTCCCCGCACGCTAGCTAGCTCGTTCACCGTCTGTCTGCCACGCCACGGCGGTGTGGAGAACGACAGACAAGCGCTGCATCTGCAGCCCGTGCCAGTTCTTGGTGGTCCATATGTGACCTCATCGAGGTGCTGAGCGTGCGAAAGTTTGTTACTAGCTGGTCCGAGTATCGGATGGGCACCTTCAGGCCGATGCACGAGGGGGTCTGTCAGTGGAGACCACTTCACAGCTATGCCTTGCTCCTTTAGGTGCACTTAGTATGACTGTCTTAGTATGTTCGACTCATTGCCCGAGACTGCCTGAGTACACTTGGAGCACTTGGAGTGCAGTCATTAACCTCACATCCAGGGCCAGGGAGCTGAGAAGCGCACCCAGCGAGCCGGATGATCGGTATCGGGCTACGGGCTAGAGAGCCCTGACCCCTAAGGCAAAACTAGAGACGTACCTCCTCGAGGGCGTTTTCAAGAAGGCTCAGATCTGCGACTGTGGCGTTGGAGGACCAATGGAGGCCGCTGCAAACCTCCCCCTTAGTAGAGCCGCCGATGCGAGTGTTGACGAGGCCGCCGGTGCGAGTGGGCGTCACCTCGCAAAGGACTACCTCCGCTACTACGGCGTGCGGCAAATCTACACCATCTCACTGCCGCGGAGAGCCGACCGCAGGGCGTTCATGCGGCGTCGCGCCGCCGCGATTCATGTGCCGCACGCCTTTCTCGACGCCTTTGATTGCCAGCGCAACGGACGCGACGCCGCGCCGCCGGGAGTGGGGCTGCTGCAAGGCCATTTGTGCGTGCACTACTCGTGGCAGAGCGCGCTGCTCCGCGCCATCGACGAGCAGAGGTTCCCCTGTCTCATCACCGAGGATGACGTTGACCTGGTCGACTTGCCACACCCTTGCAGCTCGCTGCACGGCCCTCCCCCCGCTGAGGCGGCGGTCGTAGCCCTGCACCATCGAGAGCTTGACCTCGCCGCGCACCCCGAGTGCCGCGCACCGCGCTTGCCTGCCGCGTCGCACGCGCACACGACCCTGACGCCGCTGCCAAAGGGCTGGTCTTTTGCGGCCCTCCTTTTCCCCTCGGAGCAGGGCGCGCGGGAGGTGCTCGCCCACCTCATGTGCCTCAACCCGTGGGAACGCCGCCCGTTGAGGAAGTGCGGCGCGTACCTCGCCAACAATCTTAGCCTTCCCGGCGTCCCGACCATGAACGTGGACACGCACGTCTTCCAGTTCTGGCAGCCCGGCGCCTCCTCCGTCGTCTGCCCGCCCCTGCTGAGAGTGGCCGGCCTCGGCTCCGACACGACAAACTCGAACGCTGTCGCGGAGGTGCCGCTCGCAAACTTTACAACAGCCTGCTCAGAAGAGGGGCCAGGCTCCCGAAGCAGCAGCCTGTCCTCTCCCAGTGAGATTGGAGAGTCAACCCGGCGGCGCAGGCAGCCCAGATCAGCCGTGCCAGGCGATGCTTCGAGTCCAGCAGCGGAAGGTGCCGGAGACGTCGCCGCAGATTCGCCAAGCGGCTGCGCGCAGCCGCTGGTGGCGGTGTGCATCGTGGGGCAGCTTCGGAGTGCGGCGAGGCTCGAGGTGGTCTCAGGTCTGCGGCAGGTGTGGGACGGCGTCGGCGCCGGCTGCGCAGACATCTACCTCAACCTCGGCGCGGAGCCTGTCGATGCCGCTCACCACCACGCAGAGGAGGCGGCGCCGTCAGAGGAGGCCCTCGCCCAGGCCATTCGCGTCCTACGACCGGTCGACTCGATCATCAGCCGCCACCCGCTGCCGGAGGGGAGCGAGGCCGCGTGCGCGAGGCCAACCGACTTCAACTCGTCCTCGGTGCTGTGCGAGGTGCCTCCCTTTGGGCGGGAGAGCGCCGCCGGCTGGCCCAGCTGCTTTGCGGACCTGGGAGGGCGGCAGTGCACCCACTGTGCCGCCTCGCGATACCGCCTCGCCGCGTCTCGCATCGCGCAGTGCGGCCCGATGATCCAGCGCGCAATCGATTTGGGCAAGCCGTACAGGCACCTCGTGCTGCATCGGCCAGACGTGGCCCTCGCGGGCATTCCGCCCCTCGCCGCGTGGGAGCGCACCCTCGCCCGCGTGGCGCGTGAGGAGGGCGTCGTTCGCGCCGCGCGAAAGCCCACCCCGATTCCCCCCGAGGCAGCGGACGACGGCTCCAAGCTCTGCTTCAGCCAGGACTGCGGCGACGACGCCGTGCGGTCATTGCCGTTGGCGGAGGACCTCGAGACGGAGAGAAGGGCTGAATACGAGAGGGCTGCTGGAGGAGGCGAGCAGGGCGGCACCGCGTCGCCGATGGATCTGGTGGTACGGCGGGACGACATCTTCTTTGTCGGCTCGATTCGGCTGCTGCCCGTCTTTGCCAACGGTTCGGCGCTGTTTGGAAGGTGCCAGTCAAAGGCGCTCAACCTGCAGGCCTGCATGTTCCAGCCGCGCTGCTCGTGGCACTGGCCGGAGTGCATCTGGGACCGCGCCTTTTTCGATCAACGGGTGCGGGCGGTGATGGTCAGGCGCGCCTGGAGGTCGGCTCGTATCGGCATCGTGCGGTCCGTTCGAACAGATCAGGCCCGAGAGGCAGGCGGGCTACCGATGGGAAGGCATCGGCGAGCCAGGTGTTAAGCCTCTCTGGGGGTGTCAACGCCTCGCTTTCTGTACGTAATTGACGGTGATGCAGAAACTTAAATGACACATCGTCGCGCGTGCGGCCGTGCGCGCCGGGGCCCGGGGGGCTCTGATAGTGAACACCGACGATCTAATATACAGTAGAGAGTCGTCTGTTCTGAGCGCCGCGCGCTTGTGACCGGCGCCACGGTGTGCTGGGACACAGTATCGCAGCGACACTGCTGTGGGAGCTTCTTCAGCACGGAGTAATAAGCGATGCCCGTAGTCCGCCCCCGCTGGCAGCGCTGCGGGCAGAAAGGGGCCCTACGGAGGGTCGTACGGCGCCTCTCCCGCCTAGTACAGATCGTGCCGTATGAGAAGGCGCTCGGCCTCTTAGTGGCTGGCTCGGACTACAGCCGCGGCACCGGCGGTGGCGACGGCGGCGGCACTGAGGGCGACTCCTCGGGGCAGAGACCGGCGTCGCAGCAGGCTTGCACAAAGGACTCGACCGCGGCCGTGAAGACGTTGGCTCCGATGCCGAGCTTGTTGTTGGAGAGGAAGTTGAAGGTGATCTGGCCACTGCGTGGGTTGGATGTGGTGTGGTGAGCTTCGCGATAGCACAGTGTCAGGGTCAAGGCGTGTGCGGATGGCGTGCCTGTCCGCCGCCGTCGCCGTCACCGCGTCCTCTGCAGCCGTCTCGCAGTCGTTCGATCCAGGCCTCACGGCGCACACGACCTTGGACCACCAGATGGCGAATACGTTGGTCTCCACGCCGAGCTCGTTGTTGGAGAGGATGTTGATGGCGTGGCGAGCCGTTTGTTCGCAGCTGTTTGCATCACAGCCGCACAGCTGTTTGCCAACGATGGAGCGCGCAAAAGGCTCGACGTCACAGCACGCGTCGATGAAGGCGCTGGTCGATATCGTGAAGACGTTTACGCCAACGCCGATGCTCTGATGGGATGAGGCCGAAGAGTGGGCGAGGCGTGGCGTGGGGCGACGTGGGCAAGGCGCGCAAGCGGTGGGCGGCGAGGCAGCAGCGCACATTGCCTGAGCCAAAGGAGAAGCCCTTCTCATCCGGCGCGTTGACGGTCGGAGCGGCCGTGGTGGAGGTTGCGACGAGCGCGAAGAGGATGGCTGCGCGAGACATGGGTGAATAGAGGGCTTCGGCGTCGTCAGCGTCCAGGGCTCAAGGATGGTCGTCGGTGCAGCCGTGGCGGGTTTTTTCTTTTTCCTTCTTCTTACGAATCGCGAGAGGCGTGTCCGGACTTGCCGAGTATCTACCCTTATAAGTCTCTCGTGTCGGCGCCGACGCTCTTTTAACGTAGGACGTCCCACCTGAACACCGCCCGCCGACGATCGATCAGTCCACAATCGTCGGCCCGCACCCCGCAGCGACCCGCAGCGATGGATGCCGCCCCCCACGGCCCCTACGGCCGACGCGCCGATGCACGACCGGCCTCCGTCGGACGGCTCTCCGGCCTCTCCGGCCGCTGCCGCCCGCGCTGCTGCCGATCCGGTCCCCTTCACGCTCCGCACAAGCAACGACAACTTTGAGGTCGCCGGCTTTGGCCAGGTGCCCACCACCTGCTTGCCTCCATGTTCACGCTTCGCGCCCCTTCCCCCCCTCTGACGCCGTCGTATGACCGTAGGTGAGGGGCACGACTACCCGCCTGGAAGGCGCTCTCATCAGCAAGTCACCCAGGCACCAACTCCTGGGCGTTTACGCTTGACTACGAAACCATGCAGTGGATGCAGCTCGATCAAAACGGCGACGCCAACAGCTGGTCCCTGGGCGAGTTCCTCGCCCAGGATGAGGTGCGAGTCATGATGCTCGACCCAGCGTGCACCAAGTCGCTCACATTCCGTGAGTTCGTCAACGGGCGACTGCGATCTCGAACTCCCGACAACTGGACCGGTGCACCAGCCGCGGAGGACGATAGCTCCCTCGACGACATCCCTTCATCGACGGACGCCTTCACCGCCGCCGGCCCTGGGCCATCCAGCGCGGCCTCCGACGGCCTGCACGTGATCGAGCGGGTACAGAAACGGTGGCTGCCCAGCTCACACCCTAATCGATCTGCCTTAGGCACGGAGCCAACGGAGCCATCGCGCATGCCCGCATCGCGTGCGGCTCCGAGGTCTCCCGCCGAGACCGGCTCGGCGCGGCGCGTGGCCGCACGCCGCCGTTGAAAAGGCGAGATAGGACCGAGGGGAGAGCGCCGGCCACATCGAGCGAGCGCTGACGTGTAAGGTGTCTGTGCTGCTCGGGTGTGTGTGGGATTCTGCCTCCCCCCCATCTGTGCGGCGAGTTGTTTGCGGCGCGATGCCCGATCGTGCGCGATAGCCTCCCATTGTGCGTAGTGTGTCGGTTGTCGGGGTCGTCCGGAGCGTGTGGCGGCGCCGTTGCATGCAGCGACTGCTCCACGTGCCACGACTGCTTTGACTGACGTGACTGACTGTGATGAGACATGAGAGCTGATGGATGATCTCCGACAACCCAAAACCAAAATGCAAATGCGGAGTGGCCCACTTTGGCGTGCAGATCCTGCGTCTCTCACTGCCCGAACAACAGAGACGGGTACCGCCGCAGGTCCCACACTAGTTCTTCAAATGGAGGGACGTGTCTGTCGGTCCATTCGAAACCATCCATGGTGGCGTCTCGGGTCGTGCCGCTCCTTCTGTTGTTCGCGCCCAGCGAGGCGTTTCAGCTTTCGCCGCGGCGCCTTTCCGTCATTCCGACACGCCTTGCTGCCCTGAGAATGCTCGCGCAGCCGCCGCCCTCAACAACAGACGTGCCGGAGAGACAGGAGGCCGATGCGTTTTGGGAACATCCTGGGCTAGTCCGCAGCGCATGCGAGGAGATACTTGTTGCTGTCGAGAACAGCTACGGCGTTGTGCCCGGTTGCGTTCCAGTCAAAGGGACAGCACCAACACCAACACCAACACCACCGCAGCCGTGGCCTGATGATTGACCATGACGCTTTTTCTCGGCTCTATTTGTTGGTGTCGTGTGACGTAAGTACACGCAGACGTAGAGTACACGCAGACCTGTATGTGCATACCACGTAATCACAAGCCAAAACAGGAGCAGCAGCTCACGAGCGCGCCCAGGTCACTGCTCTAACCTCACCGCACCTCCCGCGCCGCTGCGAGCTCGACATCTGCTCGCTCCGTGGAGAGCTCGGGCGGCAGTCCGCTCGGCGCGGGCGCGGAGGAGGCGCCGCGCGAGGAGGCGCCAAAGGAGAGGCTCCTCGACAGCCGGTGCAGGCTGGCGGCGAGCTTGCCCACCAGACCCGCCCTCTCGCGCGGGGACGTGAGGCCCTCGGAGGCGTACGGGGGCGGGCAGCAGAGCGGGCGTATGGCGAGGAGGGGGATGGGAAGCGCCGAGGCGAGGGCGAGGCACCAGCCGAGGGCGACGGCGTACGGCGGGAAGTGGACCTTTGACGTCGCGGTGGAGACGAACGCCTGCACGGTGAGCACGGCGAGTAGCGCCGGCACGACCAGCTTGTAGTTCCACAGCAGCGCCTTTGGAGGGGGGGGGGGGGGGAAGCGTCTCTTAGCTGTGAGCCGGCGCTGAGTCGGTGCTCGTCGGGTCCAGGGCAGCGCCTTTGGCAGCTTGGTCTTTGCCATCTCGAGCGTGTCGGCGGCGAACCGGTCCGCGCCGTACACCCACCCCACGGCGAGGCACTCCACCCCCCCGACGATGAAGAGAGTCAGATTGGCGGCGTAGCCGTCGACCAGCTCGAGCCAGTGCAGCCCGCCGCGTGTGACGAAGAGCAGGCCGACGCCGAACATGGCGAGGCAAGCGGCCGCGGCCTTGACGGCGCGAGGGTAGTTCTGGCCGACGCCGGCGTCGTCGACGGCGGTGAGGATGGTCTCGACCTGCAGATATGGGGAGATATGGGGAGATATGGGAGATATGAGGATGGTCTCACCTGCAGAGGGATGCGACCGTGAAGAGACGCGGGCCCACCACTCCTGTTCGCCGCTCCTGTCACCGCTCCCGTGGCCTGTGTGCGTGTCTTCTCGACCACGCGCGATCTCGTGCGATCTCGAGCGGTCTCGCGCGATCTCGCGCGGTCTCGCGCGATCTCGCGCCATGGAGAACTCCGAGTCGAGGCCGAGGCAGAGCAGCATCGTGAAGAAGAGCAGCGCGAACAGAGGGGCGACGGGCAGCTTGGCGATCGCCTGCGGGTAGACGACGAACGCGAGGCCGGACCCCTCGATCTGCATCTCGTCGATCGGGACGCCTGTTCGCTCATTGTTGCTGGTTCCTGGTCACCGCTTCCCTTTTAGGATCTGCATCTCGCGGGCAGGACGCCGGTCTCTTGCGACATGTCGCCGAGCACGGAGAAGACGACCAGGCCTGGTGCACAGCGCTCGGCGGTGAGGGCGAGGGGGGGGGCGTGTGTTCGCGGCACGGAGAAGGCGGCGAGGCCGGCGAGGAAGGAGGTGCCGCAGTTGATCACGGGCACCAGCCACGCGTCGCGGACGAAGTTGTGGTCGTGCCGGTTGTACGAGGCGAAGGCGGGGAGGGTGCCCCACCCGATGCCAGTCGAGTAGAAGATTTGGGATGCCGCCGCCACCCAAACCTGCCGCCCGCACCGCCGTGCATGAGGCTCGCACTACAGCACGGCTGCTCTGGCCAGGGTCTCTCTTGAGGCCCCTTGAGGCGTGCTGGGCTCTCCTCGCCCTAGACGCGTCTCGCGCCTGCGGCTCCGCCAGCTTGTCGAAGGAGGGGGTCAGGTACCACTTGAGGCCGACGTGCGCGCCTAGTCTCGTCCGTTAGCCGCCCATCCCTCACTCCTCGCGGCGTGCGGCGACGTGCACAGGCTTTGCGTGCGCCAGGCAGCGAGAGCCCCCGCACCAGCAGCGCGAGCAGGACAGCGTACGGGAAGAGGGCGGTGAACCAGGCGACCTTGCCGGCGGGCACGGACTGGGTGAGGCGACACTGGGTGCGGGGCTACATCCCGGCTGCATCTCCCCGTATCTCGGCGTGGGCCTCGACCTTGCCCGCCGAGTGGACGCCCTTGCAGACGCAGAGCCAGACGAGCACCCAGCCGAGGGCGAGGCAGCCTGTTCACAGCGGCAGGTGTGAAGAGACGCCGTTCACACTAGACGAGCACCCAGCCGAGGGCGAGGCAGCCGACGAGCGGCCACCGTAGAGGGCCTGGCCGAGCGATGCCTGGGCAAGGGGAGGGAGGGGAGGGGAGGGCAGGTCAGCTCCTCCACACACATGCCATGAGGTGTGTGTGTGTGTGTGTGTGTGTGTGTGTGTGTGTGTGTGTGTGTGTGTGTGTGTGTGTGTGTGTGTGTGTGTGTGTGTGTGTGTGTGTGTGTGTGTGTGTGTGTGTGTGTGTGTGTGTGTGTGTGTGTGTGTGTGTGTGTGTGTGTGTGTGTGTGTGTGTGGGCGGGGGGTGGGGGGGGCAAGGGCCCGGCTGACGCCTGGCTCCTGCGGCCAGGTCGTGCCCGCGCCCCACGCGCATGTCTCTGGCGCGGCCGAGGAGAGGTTCTGGGCGGGGCGGCAGTGCAGCGTGTCCACCTGCTCGCAGCTGCTGCTGTGATGAGGTGCAGGCAGCTGCTGGGAAAGAGGCAGCCATGCGGCGAGGAGGCAGCCTGCCGGTGGTACCCTCGGCGGCAGCCTACCAGGCCTCGCCATCCCTACACCCGTCCTCTCTCAAACCCCGTCCTCTGTCCGACTCGCCTCTGTCAGACCCCTTCTCTGTCGGACCCCGTCCTCTGTCAGCTACACGCAGCGCACCTCCCAGAACTGGAGGGCTCCGCCACGAGACTCGGCCCACGGCAGCACCCCGTCCCAGGCAAAGGAGCTGCGGCGGAGGAGGGAGGGCTCGCGTCGCGGAGAGGTCCGGCGGCGGCGCGACCGACCAAGAGCAGTGCCGGGAGCTGCGGCGCTGGGAGGGTTGGCTAGATCTCGGGTGCGGCGCGCCGGAAGAAGTACCAGAGCGCCCAGCAGACGACGACGTTGTAGTAGACAGCGACGATGGCCGTGGCGGTGATGGAGGCGACGCCGAGGCCGCCGAGGGAGGGGTGGACCCGCTTCCACAGCTCGGCGCCTCCGATCTGAAACTTCTGCCCCATCCCCAGCTCGAGCAGGAAAATGGGCATCCCAATGAGCAGCAGGGTTAGCGTGTACGGCACGAGGAACGCGCCACCACCATTGTTGAAGCAGAGCGCCGGAAACCTCCAAAAGTTGCCCAGTCCCACCGCGTACCCGATGCAGGCGATCGTAAACTCGGCGCCGGACGACCACTTCCGACGAGGTGGATCCTTGGAGGCGGCGGCGGCGCCCGCGTTCGAGGCGGCGCCGCCCTCGCCGAGCGCCGCGTGGCCTCGCTCCTCGCGTCGCAGCGCCGACGGGCGCTGCTGGCACATGTTGTACAATAGAGAGCAGCGCGAAGTCCAAAGACGTGCAGAGCGCGGGCACGCGAGCTTCAGGCGCCAAGCCCCCAAACAACAAAGCCGAACGGCCAAGCAAGAAAACGCGAGCCGCGTACGCTGTGCGGTGGCAAATAAATAAATAAATACAACGGACACGCCAAACGAGCGGTGGCAAAGTCAAGTGGGGCGCGGCACTTTGCCGTCTCAGCTGGCCCATGGAGGAGGAGATCCCCGACTACCGGCAGCGGCTAGCGTACGGCACGGACCAGGGCCGCTGGCTCATGCAGCAGCAGGCGGCAAAGGCAGCGCGCTCGGATGCGGCGGTGCCGGAGCAGTCGGCAGCGCGGAGGAGAGCGCCTGCCGCACGTGCATACCATTCGATCGAGAGCGACGATGGCGGCCGCTCGACGCCGTCGCGGCCGGCCACGCCCGACCAGCACTCGTCGACGGCTCCGCCGACGGCTCTGGTCATTGCGCTCGGCGTCGGCTCCTTTTTTGTGCTGGGCGTTCTGGTGCTGCTCTTGCGTAGCAGCGCAAGTGGGCCGGATTCAGAGCCGTGGATGCATGTCGATGCCGTTGCGTGAGCAACGCGCGTGTGGCCTTTGTAGTAGTGGTGGGCAGCGATGAAAGGCCGGGCAGCGTCCGTGCGCAGCACGTGTTACGCGGCTCTGCTTGTAGAGCCGTACCGTGTCTCTCCTATGTTGTATGTAACGTCCTTGCCGCAGAGATCGCTAAGGCTGCGCGCCACAGATCGCTGGTCCGCACCGTCAAGCTGGATACCTTCGACTGCCTCTCGACCGTCGACAAACACTGAGCTGAAGGCTCCGACCGCCGCCGCGCCGCCCACATGTGGCACAGCTGGCCGCCCAACATGCAAATATGCGCAATGGTGCAAAAAAAACGCCCGGCCGCCACAACACACAGGTGCCCACAGGGGTCCCCCAGTCTCACTCGTTACGACTAGCAGTGATAGTGTGTCCCACACGCACGCACGCGAGAGGGAGAGTTTACACATTACAGATGAGCGCTTCCGTAAAGACTATTCGCGCCGCAGCGGAGCGGAACGAAGCGACCGCCGCCACCGGCGCACGTGCGCCTGAGCCCTGACGTGTGCGCAGCACGCGCAGGCGTCATAGTGAGAGCCGCCAAGCGCCATCGGCGCACACCCTCACCGGCGCACCCACCCATCTCCGCCGCGCCCCGCGGGGCGCGGCGCACTCACTCGACGAAATAAACTCGCTATTCGGCGCAAAAAGGCGCGGCGACACACGTAGCCTATAGGCCGCCCGGGACGAGGTAGCCGCCGCGCGCGCCCACGCACCTGCTTGAGTAGTAGAGAAGAAGGATACCAGTCGTAGAAGGTGAGTCGAGGCCCGCTACTCTTGACCGCTACTCTTGACGCCGGCGTGCTCATCTACTTTTTCGCAGCAATGCTGTCGCTCACTGGATGACTCACGAGGTCACGTCCTGGTCGTGCTCGTGATCCTGTCCGAGTGAGAACGGAAAAAAATCTTTTTCGAGGTCAACCCGTCATGCGGCAGGTTGCTCGCTCTGGCTCGCTGCCACCGCGGTGGGTCACCAAGAGCTTCTCCGCGTGCGGCGTCATCACCACGCGACGCGCTCGCCACGCCTCACCCGGGCAAAAGGAACGATCGCGCGCCGCCGCCGCCCGCCTCGCCTTGCCTCTGCGCCAGCGCCTGCGCCTGCGCCTCGCCTTGCAGCCGCGCACGCGCACACGCGCGCGCTCGCGTCGCTCGCGTTCGCTACCGCGAAGCAACCCTCCACCCGAGTTTCGATCCGGGAGCCAAAAGCTCCCGGCTCGAACCGCGAACGGTTCGACCACCGCCGCTGGCGGTACTGCAAAGGCACTCAAGGGCAGTGCCTCATATAACGTGTGAAATAGTGCGAGCGCGCGAGATACTCACCCGACCCACCGTGCCCTCGCGGAAGAGATCTCGTGCCGCGGCGCGCGCGCTCGCACAAGCCGCCCGAGAGCACTCCCACCCCCGCCGCCCTCGCAAGCTCACAGGTTGATTTGAGGAGAAGCAGCTGGGGGAGGTCAAAGCGGGAGAAGGCGGCACGGCGGCGGCGGCGCGGCGCCCCCCCAGCCCCACACGCCTCCGGGTCGTGCGTACCGCCTCCGGGCGAGAGTGTCCCCCCAGCGTCTGCTTGAGAGCAGACGCTCCGGTAACCAGGCCGAGAGTACCAGGGAGGCGAGGGGAGAAGAGCCCAGGGAGGGGAGAAGAGAAGAGCCCAGGGAGGGGGGAGGAGAAGAGCCCAAGGCGGCCTCCCTCTCCCTCCCCTCCCACCGGGCCTCCCTCTCCCTCTCCTCCCACCGGGCCTCCCTCTCCCCCTCCTCCCGCCAAGCACCAATGCACTATCAAACGAGTAGCCGAATAATGTACCTAAATCTCTAATAATTAGGTACATTATTCGGCTAATAGTTTGATAGTGTGCAGTCTCGAGGGGTCAGCCGCTTGCCGAACCACCTCCGAAGGGGGGGTGGACGTACGCCAGCGGCACGAGGGCCTCAGCCACACAGCTACCATGGGAACGCGACCCACCCAAAGTTAGGCATACGCCATACCCCCCGGCGCAGTGTCCCCCGCTATGTGTCGCCGTTCGTCGGGGCACGCTATCCTGTGCAGTCTCAGGGCAAGTGTAGAGGGGAGACAGCGTCCTAATCTAAAATCTGAGGATTCAGGATTGAGGGCTTGCTTCAGTGAGGCCAAAGTGAGTTTATGGATGTGTGAGAACGGTACGGGACACGAGGAGTCACGCGGACCGACTCGTCGGCGACTCTGCTGCACGGCGTTTCAGAATTTTTCTCAGCGTGAGCGAGACGTGGAAGAGTGCCACCGTCGGGTAGGACGGGTCGGCCCGGAGTATCAGAGTAGCCGTCGTGGTCGTGGCGAGCAGCGACGGCCACTCCGGCGCCGCGTCGGCAACATGGGAGCATGTCCACCGCCACTTCGCGGTCGCAGCGCTGTTGTCGCCCGAAACGCCGCATATCCCTCTGGCGGGCCAAAGATCGACTCGCATGTCGATTTCGACTTGACGGCAGCATGGAGGCATCACGTCTCCATGCGCCCGTCAAGTCGGAGCCAGTCTGCGGCGACCACAGCGCTTGCAGGAACATGCGAGCTTTTCAGAGTCAAGGATTGCGCGAAATCCCAGACTGGTGGATTTTGGGGCCTGTCTACCCCCTAGCAAGTGGGGGCGGGGCGGACAGCAGCCCCAGGCCTTTGTTTCCTGGGACCTCTCCGCCCAGTATGGGGGTGCGTCGAACCTTCCATCACCCTCTGTCGGAAGCGGCGTGCCGGTGGAGGCACGTCCGGGTTTTGGAAGTAAAATATTTTACTTTTTTTGTCCGAGTGAGAACGACAAGACACACAGGAGTGTCACACTGTACGGCTTTACATATAAAAGCAACCCACATGCACGATGCACATACATACTGTACACCATGGTCTCTTCTCAACACGCCAACAATGCAACAACCCCCGCGAGAAAAGGATCATGCAGCGGGGGAAAGACGAGGGGGCTCACGAACCAAGAGGGCACGCATGCAAAAAGACCAAAACATCGAGGGGCTCACACATGACGGGAGCTCTTCCCGCTGCGATGGTCTAAATTGTGGGCAGCCTTCTCCGTCGTGAGCGGTCGACGACAGCTCGGCTAGAAGGCCGCGGCGCCCTCGCCAAACTCGGGCACCTAACACAGAGCGGGAGGGGATCTCACCTGTGAGGTAGCAGGCTGGCCCGCCGCGCTTGCGCACCCAGTAAGCGCCCCACGTGTCGCCGGTGACCGCCTCCTGAGCCATGAAGCCGGCAGCTGCGAGCATAGCCAGGCGGCCGTTCTGGAGCTCCTTGGTCTGCATGACTTTGAACTCCTCCGGGTCGGTCGGCTTGAGGCCGAGCGGGTCCCACCTATAGAGGGGGGAGGGCGACGGCCGATGGATGTGTCGGGGCGAAGGAGGACGACATGGCTGATGAGGCGCTCGTGCCCGATGTCCCCTGGCACGTAGGTGGGCTTCAGCTTCTGGAAGACGTGGTCGGGCTCGTTGGGGTTGGACCAGCCGACCTGCGGACATACACGCGCGGGGAGGCGTGGGTGCACAGGCTTGGACCGCAGCGCTGCGGAGGCGGCATGGGAGCAGCCGACCTGAACGCGGTACGCCTCGCAGATGCCGATCCCGAGCGTCATCGCGAACCACATGAACACGGGCAGCTTGGGGATCTGCTCGATGGCCGGGCCGCCGTCGCCAGAGAACAGTGGGTGGAACTTCTCCTGGACGAGGAAACCCGCGGCGGCCAGCATGCCCACGCGGCAGTGCGCGAGCTCGGCCTCGCGCCACGTACGAACCTGGTCGAAGGTGAGGTCGGCGGACAGGTTGAACGGGTCAAACTCCTCGAACGGCGCGATTGAGCCGGGCAGGCCGTAGCAGAACTCGCCCTTCTTGGCGGCGGCCTCGGCGGCCTTCTCGACCTCGTCGGCCTGCGGCGGAGGTGGGCTGGGCGGCGGCGGCGAGGGCGGCGGACTCGAGGGCGGTGGAGGCGGGCCTGCTGAAACGACGGCGGCTCCTGCATGACGATGTTGACGGACCGCATCGGTGCGACGAAACGGATCAGCGAGAGGACCATGATGTCAGATTCGTGGGCAGCGAGTTGAGAGCTATGTCGAAGCCGCAATCGGATGACACGCGAGATTGTGAAGGTGATAGGAAATTCCCTCACAGAAAGAAAACTGTTTCGCACTAGCGGGGCGGTGGGCGTGTGCGCGCGGCGCGGTGCGGTGTGTATGTGTGACTGCGACAAGGGACCACGTTTGTATGAAAAAAGAATCAACATACAACACGAACGAAGTACGAAGGTGGAAGGAGACACTTGTGATTTTGTGTGAGCTATGTGTCTTGATCTGCTAACAACAAACCCTCTCTAGCAACCAAGCTGTGCGCTCGTGCGCCCCCCGGGCAGCGGAGAAGGGACGCGGAGCCCGAGCCGCTCGACGGTCCGCCGCGCCTCCTCCAGCGAGATTGACTCGACCGCCGTCCCGCCACGCAGCCGCAACGCCTCCTGCCCGCCTGCCAGCCACGCAACACCCTCGCCGACGTCAGCGCCCTGCTTGTAGGAGCCCGACTCCACGCGGTCGTTTGCGTACCGGTAGACGCCGCGCCCCTCCTGCTTGCCCGCCTTCCACTCGCCGTCGTAGACATCGCCGTTGGCAAGCCGGTAAATGCCGCGACCCTCCTTCAAGCTCGACTTCCACTCGCCCTCGTAGACGTCGAAGTGGGCGTATCGGAAGACGCCGCGCCCGTCCTGCTTACCCGCCTTCCACTCGCCGTCGTAAACGCCGCCATCGGCGTACCGCATGACGCCGCGCCCCTCCCGCTCCCCCGCCTCGTTGTACTCGCCCTCGTAGACGTTGGCGTCGGCGGGCAGCGGGGAGGGGATGGGGAGCCCGAGCCGCTCGGCGGTCCGCCGCGCCTCCTCCAGCGAGATTGCCTCGACCGGCTCTCCGTCCTGCAGCTGCCAGGCCTTCCGCCCGTCTGCGAGCCACACGATGCCTTCGCCGACGATTTCATTCTGATGGTAGGAGTTCGAGTCAACGTCGCCGTTGGCAAACCGGAAAATGCCTTGCCCCTCCATCATATCCGCCTTCCACTCGCCATCGAAGACGTCCCCGTTGGCGGACCGGTAAACGCCTTGCCCATTTTTCAGGCCCGCCTTCCACTCGCCCTCGTAGGAGTCGCCGTCAGCGTATCTCATGACGCCGCGGCCCTCGGCCAGACCTGCGTTGTACTCACCCTCGTAGACATCGTCTGCGCCGCATGACACTCTCGAACTTATCCGCCTGTGCGCCGCTGGCCCATCTGTAGGCGCCGCGCCCCGGCTCAACCGCCGCATTGCGCTATCCCTCGCGGCGGCGGCTGTACTCGCGGCGCAACCCATATTGTCGAGACGCCTGCGCCGCCCTCGACTACGAGTGGACGTGCTCTGCCGCCTCCGCGTTGTGTTTTCCAGAGAGTGGTGCGACAACGTTTATGCACGAGACGCCTGTGTCCCTTGACGTGCTCTGCCGCCTCCGACCGCCGACTTTGAGAGCTGCAAAAAAAAAAACAAATGCGTCACCGCGCGGTGGTGGCCGCTGGCGCGCGGTTGATCGCGGCGCCAACACTGCGGCAGCGCCATCTCACGCAGCGGGACGCGTCGCGTTAGGCTGAGTAGGGGGTAGCCAGCGCCCCAAAATCCACCACTCGGCTACCTTTCTCTGGGATTTCGCGCAATCGCTTGACTCTGAAAAGCTCGCATGTTCCTGCAAGCGCTGTGGTCGCCGCAGACTGGCACCGACTTGACGGCAGCATGGAGACGTGATGCCTCCATGCTGCCGTCAAGTCGAAATCGACATGCGAGTCGATCTTTGGCCCGCCAGAGGTCATGCGGCGTTTCGGGCGACAACAGCGCTGCGACCGCGAAGTGGCGGTGGACATGCTCCCATGTTGCCGACGCGGCGCCGGAGTGGCCGTCGCTGCTCGCCGCGACCACGACGGCTACTCTGATACTCCGGGCCGACCCGTCCTACCCAACGGTGGCACTCTTCCACGTCTCGCTCACGCTGAGAAAAATTCTGAAACGCCGTGCAGCAGAGTCGCCGACGAGTCGGTCCGCGTGACTCCTCGTGTCCCGTACCGTTCTCACACATCCATAAACTCACTTTCGCCTCACTGAAGCGATGCCTCAATCCTGAATCCTCAGATTTTAGATTAGGACGCTGTCTACCCTCTACAGGTGGGGACCCTGTAGCTGTATGTGTCCGTCTCCCACTAAGGCAGTCGAGAAATATTGAATATATTGCTGCAATAGTTAGAGGTGCGATCAATATCAATATATATGTCAATAGTTAGAGGGACCAGGGCCTGGATTGGCTAAGGGGGGCTCAATATATTGACATTGTTCTATGTCCATCCCGGGCTTGCACATGCCCTAAAATTGCTCAAAATGGACCCAAATCGCTTCAAATTCGCTTGGATCGCTTCAAAATCGCTCGGAATCCGCGAATAATTTGATTTCAGCCACCATCTAGGCGACTTTTGGGACAAATGTCGCTTTTGGAGGTGAAAATCAGTGATCAATACCTCAATATATCTTGTCAATAGTTAGAGGGGATGCTGTCAATTATAATCAATATCAATAGTTACAGGGGCGAGAATGCACTTGGAGCACTTGGAGTGCAGTCATCAGCCTCACATCCAGGGCCGGGGAGCTGAGAAGCGCACCCAATGAATGCAGAATCAATCTTTCTCGACTGCCTTAATCTCCCACCCCTCGTTTGGCGTGTCCGTTTTTTGTATTTATTCGAGGTTCTCGAGGTGGATATCCTTTGGCCGCGTTGGGTAGCGAGGATTGGTGTGACGATCCACGCAGGCGTGGTTTCTGAGACGGCCCCGACCGTCAGTGCACGGAGTTGCCCCTTCTCCGACTGCCCCCCGGCTAGAGAATAGACCAGAGAGGAGGGCGTACGTAACATACGCGCGAGAGAGAACACGCAGCCGGCGCGGTGAGGTACCAACACCGTCCGATCGCGCTGCCCTCCCTCGCAGCCGCCTCACAGATTGAAATCTCGGCGCTCTCGGTTCGCGAGTGTTCAGGTGCTTCTGCTGCGCTCCTGCCACTCCCGGATCTGCCGCCGCAGCATGTGGTTGGGGAAGACGCCCGTGTTCTCAAGCGCCTTGCCCGTTAGCGGGCTCGTCGATCTGATCGCGAGCCAGCGCTCGATCGCAATCCGCTCATACGCGTGCCCATCACCCGCCATCACCGGGTCGCGCATGGCCTCCGCCGTGATGGGGCAGATAAAGTCGGCTGGCGGCTCTAATTCCAGCGCCAGCGCCTAGCAGCCGCTCTTGCGGCAGCCGCCAGCGGAGGCCGAGCGCGTCGACCGCCAGTCCGCACGATGGCACTGCGACCGCGGCGGCTGCTGGCGAGGGCAGCAGCGGCGCGCGCGAGCGGCAGTCCCGATTTGGTGGGGAAAAGAAAGAAAGCCAACACGTAACCCAAGGGAGGGATGGTGGGGTCTTGTAAGGTGCCTATATGGGCTTCCAGTATCGGACCTTCAAGACATGCGCTTTTGGCCGGTGGCCTCCTCGGACATGGTACCTCCGGTGAGATAGTGGCTGCCAGTTCGAGACTGGGGCCGATCGAACTTGAGTTGTTCGGAGGAGGAATCCGGCCAGCACGGGTACAAAGAGGGGTACCCGGAGAATCCCCAGCTGCGGAAACGTAGTGTCGCTCAAGAGGTGCGATACTGCGGGGGAGTGTAAGGTGCCTATATGGGGTTGTATGGCGGGTGGCAGTGGATTTCTTCTTCCCGGCGCGATGAATGAGGCTCACCATCTCGCACTGGTGCTCGCCGTTGCTACTGCCGGCGCTGCGAACGTCGTGCTACCATGCATGACAAACTACACCCTCGCCGTCACTCCGTCCCTCGCAGCGGCGCCACCGCCCTGCAGCTGGCGTCACTATGCGGCGTTTGCCGCCTCGGTCGGCGATGGCTCTTGGGCGGACGGCACTGCTCGAGTGGTGACCGACGCCGTGGGCGGCGTCGCCGCGCAGCAGGCGACGGAGCAGGAGCTCACCTCGTCGCTCACGACGGCGCTGACCATCGTTGAGGCCCTCCGCCTCTCGCTCGGCGACGAGGCGTACGTGAGCCGGACGGCGGCGGTGGACGTGGACGTCGTGGGGTGGGCCTTCGACTGGGTGGAGCGGCCGGTGGAAGAGGGCACCTCCAACACCGTGACCGTCACGCCGTGGGAGGACGTCGCTGCGGCGACGGCAGAGCGCTGGGGATCCCTCATCGGCGGTGCGTTGCGCCGGCTGCTGCCGTCGGTCGAGCGCGTGGCAGTCCGCGGGATCGGGCCCGAGGCGCCTTCGCTCGCGGCGACTGCGATGCGGCCGGACGGGTGGCTGACCCTCGAGCTGGTCAACGGGGTGTACGCTCCTCCCGCCGTCGCCGCCGACGTCACGCTCCTCGAGAACTCTGGCATGCACGACGACCTTTGGCCGTCGGATGGCGGCTGCGTCTCTGACAAGGGCACCTTCGCCGTGCTGACCGCGGCGCAGCTCTCCTCGCGCGTGGCGGCGGGCCGGTTGGGCGGGCTGGGGCTGGGCTGCCTTTGGCGGTCGTCGGTCGAGGCGATGGTAGCGTCCGGGCGCCTCTTTTGGGCCACATCGTACCAGAGTCACGAGCACCTCCTCGCCGTCGCCAACCTGCGCGGGGTCGGAGCGACGATCGAGCACGCCTTCCCGTCCGGCTTCGCCGAGCAGCCCCCCCTCTCCCTCGAACTCCTCTCGCCCTCCGGCTTGCTCGCCGAAGCGCTTCGAGACCCGTACGAGCGAGCCGTCTCGCGCAAGGAGGCGCTGTACGCCTTCACCACCGCGCTGTGGCGCCACCGCATCTCCGTCGGCGGCTTCGAGCCCACGCCCGCGACCTCTCGCAACGCGTACGTCCTCGCCTTCCGAGGGGCCGCCTCGGCACCGCCGCCCGCCGGCTCGGCGGCCCACTCGGCGTACGACGCCCTCTGGCGGGGGCACAACACCGCGCAGGCTGTCCGGCGCAGGCTGCAGTCCCACGCCTGCGCCGCCGCCTCGCTGCCCGACACGCCGCCCCGCCACGCCGCGGTGCTGCGCGGCGCAGAGTGGTGCGGGGGGCGGGTGCGCTGGCCGGACGAGGAGCCGACGCCTGCTCCGCCGCGATCGGCCGAGGCCTCCGCCCTCTTCGACTCGGCGAGGAAGGTCGCAGACGGCGGCGACGCGGCGGGCGCGGCGGCGGCGTACCGCGTGGCGCTCAAGGCGTCGCCGTCCGACGCTGCGGGCTGGGTCTCGCTCGGCGTGCAGCTGTCGGCGGTGGACGGGGCGGAGGACGAGACGCTGGCGGCCTTCGAGCAGGCCGTCGCTGTCGCCGAGCCGTCGGACGTTCGCCCGCCCCTCACCCTCGCCCGCTACTTCGCCCGCCTCTCGCGGCCGGCCGAGGCGATTGCCCAATTCTACGCCGCCGCCGCGGCGGACCCAGAGTACTTTGACGAGGTGAAGGCCGGCGTCGGGACGGCGCGCGCGCAGCAAGGCCGCCTCGCCGACGCGCTCGCCGATTTCAAGGCAGCGGCGCGGCTGACGCCGCAGGACGCGCGCCTCGCAAGGGCGGTCGAGTCGATGGAGCAGTCAGCGGCGCGCCTCGCCGCCGCATCCGACAGCTTGCGCGACGCAGTACACTCGGTGTGCGGTGCGGCGTGACGTGAGGTGCGAGGCCGCCATCGACGGCCGCACTTGCCCCTCACACGCCCGGCTGTGAACAGGCACGCCGTGCCGCGACGTCGTCGACGCGTCGGGCACCGGCGTCTGCGCAGTGACGTGGGCTCAGGGCTGTGGCGACACTCCGCCGCCGGACGGCTTCTCGGCCGACGCGACAGTCGAGGCGCTCTGCCCGCTCGCGTGCGCCGCGTACACCTTTCGCGCGCAGCTGGGCTGAGTCGTCGCTCGCAGCGGCGCCCCGAGTGAGGGTGGGAGCGCCCCGCGACGCCTTACTTACCATCGCTAGTCTTCTTTGTATGAATACCGTACTCTAAAGTACACATCGGTCGGCGCTCCGGTTGGGGCGGCAGTCAGTGCGGCCGACAGACTCGGGCTCGGGGCTCCGCTGCGCATAGCACTGCTGGCAAGGGGGGGGGTCGTAACAAATCATCTTTACGTATCGTTATAGAAGTTCATACCACCGTCACGGATGCAGTAAAATGAGGTAATAAGCAACGTTCTCTCTCTCATAAGCAATGAAGTTCGATACGAGAAGCCCATATAACACCTTTACGACGCGCGCTAGGGGTGCTGCTTGCGCTCGGCCTCAAACGCGTGCGCGTCGTCGCCGGACGTGCCCGCCTTGCTGCGCTTCCAGGAGGCCGCGCCAGCGTTTGCGCCAGCGTTTGATACGACGCGCTTGGTGCCCGAGAGGGCCGCGATGCTGCGCGGCGCCGCCTCCAGGGCGTCGAAGCGCCGGTACTTGAAGTCGGTGCCGAAAAAGTCCCCCACCTTGTAGTCGCCGCCAGAGCCCTCGATGGCCCCTTCGGCCTGCGCCTCGGTCGTGATTTCGTTGGCCTTGAAGGAGCTCTGACGCCACCACAGCTCGCGGTCTGCGGCGCGCGCCGGAGCCGTGTGTCAACGCGGGCTCTTGAGAAGCAGTCAGGGGCGGGCAGGCGGGCGCACATCGATCCTTCTTGCCGTCGACCGCGAAAGTTCTGGATACACTGGATACATATCTAACACCTAGGGTGAGGAAACGGCATCAATCAATCACGGGAGGCGCATACAGATAGATGGATGAGGACGAGCCTGCCACGCCGACCGACGCGTGGTTTGCTCGCGACGCTCAGATTCAGAGTGCCTGAGAGCATGGCGCCGCTCGGCGAGGAGGCGGGCATCGGGGCACTGCTGCAGCGGTTCAGCGTGATCACTGCGAGTTTCATTCCCGAACGAACGAACGTAGCAGCATCGAGGACTTCAAGGCCGAGAACGCGAGCTGCGTGGATCCTGCATATGCAGGGCGTAACGGGCGGGTTTCCAGTCGTTGAAGGAAGGGGAGGCAACGGGATGCGGCACATGCGGCCGGAAACTTACAGGAGATCGCTACTCAACGCGGCCAAAGGATATCCACCTCGAGAACCTCGAGAACAGGAGATCCAAGAAAAAGAAACACCTCGCGCAGACTTTGGCGGCGAGTATCGGCGTCCAAAGACCGTTTGCGGCATGATGCTCCTTGCACCCGTTGCCGCGGCTGGGCTCTCCACGGCCGTCTTCTCGCTCCGCCCCGCGCTGCAGCGCGCCCGGCGCGCCCCGCCCGCGGCGATGCTCATCGAGGACCAGTTCTATCCGGACGACGACGCAGGTGCCGAGGGCCTACCTGACTCGCTTTTCGGCGATGACGACAGCCTCGACCTGGGTCTGGTGAGCATGCCGCTCCTGCAGACACCCGCGCAGGCCTCGTTCCAGCGCTTCCGCGAGCGCATGCAGCAGCGGCGCGGCGGGCCGCAGCTGGGCGTCAACGGCGAAGACAACCCGATCGGCCGCTGCATCCTTGGGGATGCTGACCCGGCCGCAGGGACGGAGGGCGGGAACGACTTGGGCTTCTCGCTGAAGGAAACCATCTTTGACAGCGGTGACGACGTCTTTGGCATCTGAAAGACGTCTGGCGATCCACGGCAAGGGACTGCCGAAGACGCAGCAAGTTCCTTGGCGGGGGCATGTGCCATGTCTGGAGCTCTGCCAAGCAATTGCGCGCTAGCGCCTGTACTCTCCATGTGGTGTATAGTTTTCCTGCTGTATTATTCGAAAGTACCATGAGAGGGGCGGTGCGCCCACCGCAGGGGCTCAGTCCTCAGACTCTAAAGTACACCCATAGAACCAAACCGCGACGGGCTGGGGGACGTGGGAGCTCTCTGCTGCGTGCTGCGCAGAGGCCAGAGCGCACATACCTGGGCGCACACCGGGGCCGGGGCGCGCGGGGGCCCGGGGCCAGGCCCGGGGGGAGAACATGCTACTACATGGGGCCGCCGCGCGTCCAAAAAGGCAAAGCGACGCCACACTACACCGACGAGACATGAATGACGGGCTCACGCGTGCACAGAGTGGGCGCGGCACACTCCAACCCTTCTCACTCCGACGACGGCCTCGCCGCTCTGTGAGGAGGGGAGAGGGGTGGGGCCCTCAAGGGGATGGGGGCGGCAGCGGCAGAGACCCGCCCCCTGGAATTGGCTGCTTGAGCCATCTCCTCCTCGCCGCCGCCCTCGCCTTTGAGCACCCGCGCAGCTGTTGCAGCCCAACGAGCCGCAGCCCGCGGCACTCCCCGCTCGCTGCCTGCGCGCAGCTGAACCGACAGCCTCCGCGTCCCGCCACGCGCTCAAAGCTAATGTTTTCCAGGAGCGCCAGCGCGCCGCCGCGCACCTCCCCAATGTACGAGGTTGCAATGGCGATGCCCGCGGTGACGCTCACGTCGACGAAGCGCACATCGCGGACGTAGCCGCCGCGGCCGGGACACGTCTTGATCTTGAGCCCGCGCGAGCCGGCAAAAGTAGAGTCGCGCACCGTTACGTTGGCCACCCCGCCGGCTTGGGGCAAACGTAGATTTCCCGAAATATTTTGAGAAATATGACAGGCTTGTTCGGAAGGAGAAATTTCCGGAAATTTACCATACCTGTGACAAGATCCTACTATTCATATACGAGTACTGTTCCCAATCATACTGTGCTCACTCAGCCCACGCGGCGCTCGTTGATGCGGAGCATTACGGCTGTCGTGCCCGCAGCACGACAGCCGTCAAGCCGCGCAGTCGGGTGGACGCGTCGCGTCGGACTTTTTGCCACCACCTCCACGAGTCTGTCCAGTGCACCCACTGGCCAGATGCCGGGCCTCGGAGGCTGAATCGAGCGCCGAGTCAGGCCGACCTGGCACTGCTGAGGCGGGTCACGCCTGCTGGGGCGAGCCTCGGCGAGACTGCGTCAGCTGTTCCCACAGCAGGCTGGAAGTACCTCGCCAGCCCCAGACCCTTGGGGACACCTCTCGGGTGGGCTCGGGTGCACCCGGATGGGCTCAAGGTTGCGCATGGCCTTGCCGTTGGTCGAGCACGAGTCCCGCGCACCACAGACCACGTCAGTGGTCTGCACACGGCAGGTGGTGCCGAGGATGGTGTTGAGCAGCGCGCCAAGCTCGTCCCCGTTCATGTGCGTCTTCGTAGTGCGCAGCGCGACGAGGCGCTGCTCGATGCTCTTGAAGCCACCGGGACACCAGCGGAGCAGGACGGCGATGCATTCTCCTAGCCGCGTGGTGCCGTCAAAGATCACGCAGACACGCTGCCCCTCGATACTCTCCATCGTCTCTGCACTGAGGTGTGAGGACTGAGCACTGGACTCTGGAGCGGATCTAGGATGTCTAAATAAATAAAAAAACGGACACCTCTACTGTGAGATGGGTAAAAAGGAACAGGTCCCCGCCCTTGCGATCTTTGTGCAGGGTTCTTTGTGGGTGTGGTCGGCGACTAGCCGGGGTCGTCCTCCCGATGGGGGACTAGCACTAGCCGTCTTCCACATGGTCCCTCGGGTCCCTGCTGCTCCTAATCTCTTCGTACATCCTCCTGCTGATCTCCGCAACGTCCTGCTCCCTCCCTCGTGCCTCGTCTCGCCCTGCGCGAGGAGCTGTGCTCCGCGTGTGTGAGAGAGTTCACATCTTGTTAAATTCTTTTACTGGGATACGGCGCTCTAGGCGGCGGTCGATTCCGCATGGCGCATGGTACGCGTACGGGACCCTCGTTTTAGTCTATAGTCACGCTCACAACAGGCTCTCACAAAGCCAACACGCTCAGTCGCTCACACTCTCGTCGCTTCAGTATACCAAGTCAGAGAAGAGAACAGAGGGAGTGCTACACACTGCTCCTCCACTTTCGGTCGCCCCCCCCCAAGGCTCGCGCTGGCGCTGCCGAGATCAGCAGCTGTCCTGCGGCGCGGCCCTGCTCACTTCTCCGCCTCGGCCACCGCGGCGGGCATCGGCTCCGTGTGCGGCTGGGGCGCGCCGCGCTTGAAGGGGGCGGTGTCGGCGAGGCACGCGTAGAAGACCGAGTCGAGCACGCCGCGCGGGTCGAGCCTTGCGTCGGCGCACGTGCCGTAGTGCTGTAGAGACCGTAGTGCGGCCGAGTGCACCTCGCCGCGCTGCTCTTCCGCCGCATGCGCGATGGAGCCGCTCGCGCCGTCTCCTCCTCCGCCGGGCGGCGCGCCGAAGGAGCTCGACCCAAAGGAGGGGAGGGAGGGCGCGTCGGGCCCTCGCCACGCGTCTCCGAGCAGGTAGGCCCGCACCTGTGCAGGAGAGGCTCCCGGAGAGGTCGAGGAGCCGTCCGGGCGAGCTAGCCCCCGGCGCTACTCGCAGGCAAGGCCCCTCTGCTGCTAGACCGCTGCTGCTAGACGCTGCTGCTAGACCGCCCGCTGCTGCTAGACCGCCCGCTGCTGCTAGACCGCTGCTGCTAGACCGCCCGCTGCTGCTAGCCCCTCGCCTCGGAGCAGGCCGACGCGGCGCACTTGAGAGCCCACGGGTGCTGCCTGCCGACCATCGGCACGCGCATCGAGAAGCGGCAGTGGTCGTATGCGTGGACCTGCAGGGAGGGTGCGGGGGGGGTCGAGGAGAGGTCTAGCCGGGCGGCAGCGGTCGTGGGCGTGCACCAGCTCGTGGACGAGCGTGTCCTCCACCTCCTTCTCGTCGAGCCGCTTGTCTGCGCACAGCGTGACGCGCCGCTTCTGAGGGTTGTAGTACCCCCTCATGTGCTGCCACATCCCTTCGGACGGGCAGCTGCGGCAGCGTGCGCACGGCGCGGGGTCCTCCTTCGACCCCTTGAGCGCAGTGCAGCCCGAGTCGAAGATCGAGCCGAGTAGCGTGCGCGCTCGCTCGCCGCGCAGGGCGCGCCCGAGCGATCGCTCGCACGCGGCGAGATCCGAGCTCGCCGCGCCGCCACGCCCATACGGGTCTGACGCGCTCGGAGGTGCGGGAGCGTTCGCGTTGCGCCACCGCGAGTCATCGTCCGCCGGCTGTGCTGACCACGAGTCCTCGTCGCGCCAGGAAGGGGCGCTGAGGGTGGGGTCGACGCTGGTATAGGAGTCCTCCGTCTCCTGCGTCGGTACGGGCGACTCTGGCGGCGGAGGTGGAGGAGTGTACGTCATGTACCAACCGATTCGCACTTTTCGATTCGCACTTTTTGGTTCTGAGGTGCCTGGTGTGCTCCGTGAGCGACGCGGTCCCGCCTTGGGGCGCGCTGGGGGCCTCTGAGTCAGCTCGGGCTCTCACACAAAAACGCACAAGCTCAGACAGTCGAGAAAGGGATAGACAGCAACGACAGTCAGAAGTCAGCGCTGGGTCCCAGGGCGAATGCGATGACGGCCTCTAGTGTGAGACTCTCACCACCCACAGTTGGCTCCAGGCCTCACCCCTCCGGTCCTGGCCTTCCGGTTCGCCGGCTGACCCGCTGTCCCCCCAGGGCACCCCCCCCCCCCCCCCCGGTCCCCTCCCCCGGGTACCCCAGCCTCCGCCCACACACACACCCACACTGCATCGACTTTAAACCAAGTGTCCTGCACGTGGTCGCGCTCCAGGCGCGCGGCGAGAAAGGGACGCAGGGCGTGCAGGCCACCACTTTGCAGGTTAAAAAGATTTTGTCCTATCTAACGAAGGACAGATTCGCACGGCTCTCGCGCCTTGCGAGGCGGGGCGTGAAGGGAGAGGTGGGAGGCGCCGACTAGTCGGCTGCGGAGGCTCCACCTCGCCACCGGCTCTACCCTCGCGAGGTCGCGTCGGCTCTAGCGCACGGTGTGCTCCGTCGGCAGGCCCATGCGCATGCAGACCCGCAAGCTCTGCCGCGGGAGCGCGCCGACCGCCTGCCGGACCGCGACCGCGGAGGTGGTGGTGGAGCGGGCCCGCTTGGACGGGCCACCCTCCGAAGGGGCCTCCCGCTTCGGCCGCGTCAGGACGAGATCGGCCATCCCGGCCATCTCGCGGCTGGTGAAGCAGGAGAGCCGGCGCTGCTTGGGCGGCGTCTCGTCGGGCCGCGGCAGCGGGGTCTCGTCGCCCTTGTTGACGGGGCGGCGGCACATGGGACAGTCGGCGGTGCAGCCGTCGCCAAAGCAGCGGTAGAGGCACGAGCGGTGGAAGATGTGGCCGCCGCCGGGGCACGCAGTCTTGACGAGGCCTCCGGTCGAGGGCTCGAGCGTCTCGAGGCAGATGGGGCACTCCTTCTCGCCGCGCGTGCCGTCGCTCGCCGCGCGCGCCTCTGCGCGGCGGTGCCGGCGGGCGATGACGAGGGCCGCCTCCTGAGGCGTGGCAAAGCAGCCGAGAACGAGGTCCCCGCCCTCGCACCTAACCGTGGCTCGGTACGGCCTCGAGCGCCCCTTGAACTCGGAGACGCCCTTGAAGCCCGTCGCGTTCTTGTCCGACAGCTCCAGCGTCAGGCCCTCAACCTCCGCCGCCGCTTCAGCCTCCTCGGGGGACATTGGCTTCTTGGGCGCCAGCGTAGCGGCGGGGGTGGCCATCCCCTCCTCGGCGAGGGCCTGGCACAGCGGCGTGGCCACCCCCTCCTCTGCCGCGCGGCGGGCGATGACGAGGGCCGCCTCCTGAGGCGTGGCAAAGCAGCCGAGGGCGAGTTCGTTTCCGTTGCAATACGCCCGCGCCACGTACGGCCTCGCACGGCCATTCTTGATCTTGCCGACGCACTTGAAGCCAGTGGCGCTCTTGTCCGACAGCGCCAGCGTCAGGTTCTCAGCCTCCGCCGCCGCTTCAGCCTCCTCGGCCGTAAGCGGCTTTGGCGGCTCCGGCCCTAAGCCCAGCGCCTCTTGCACGGAGATAAGCGCCCCTCCTGGAGGCCCGGGCATCATCATGGCCACAGAGGATAAATGGCTGACACGTTTCCAGAGGTTTCTTTTCTTCGCGGTTGGCTGTTCTTCACCTTTCTACCTACCTACCTACCGACCTGAGCTCTTACGAACATACCCGAGGGTGAACTGCTGACAGGGTTTGAGAGAGAGAGAGAGAGTTTGTCAGGGTTTGTGATGAGGAGCGATCCGAACGTGGTATTCGGGTGATTATTCTTCTTTCTTGAATTCCATGTGTAGAGGTTGCCGGTTAAGCGGAATTCCTATTCTCTGGCCGTCACCGAAAGAAAGAAGGAAACAGAAAGAAAGCTGCACGTGTGTATGTATGCTGCACGGTCGCATTCGGCATTCCATTGGCCTCCTTGAGGGTCGTAAATCACAGCGTACGTAGTACGTATAGGGGCACCTGTCCACGTCATGCCTAAGGGCACTGAACGTCAAGAGAGATTTGTTGGTTTTCTAAAATCTCTCTCTGAACGCGATTTCCACAATCTTGATTCTTGTCGAACACTGTGGTCACGTTCCGTTGCAGCGATGCCCATTTGCTGTGTGGGATCGCTCTAAGGAGCGAGCGAAGATTTGGCACGTCATATGCGCATATCACGATTCGGCACGGTCACCGAGAAGAACTCCCAGCGCAGCATACCGGCAAACGGCGGGAGGAGGCCTCCTGCGGACCCAATCATGACCGGGACGCCTCCTGCGGACATCACCTCCATCAGCCGGTAGGAGAGCGCTCCGCCTCGGCGAGGCACCAAGCCATACTTGCACCTTTGCATCTCCGCGCGATAGTCGTACTTGCACGGCCCGCTCGAGTCGCACGCCCGAAACGTCGCCGTTGAACGATGGCTGCCCGTGGCTTTGCGACTAGTGCTGACTCTGCCTTTGAAGAACGCGAGCGTCGTCTTGCCCGCCTGATTTGATCTCGCCACCGCAGGGAAAGCGGCGTGGAGGGATGGCAGCGGCATTGTTTGTCACAAACAGGCCAAACTTGTTGGCATTCCGCTTGCTTGCTGTTCTTCATGAGCACGGCGCATCCAAAGTCCATTTTTTTGTTTTTACCAAAAGGAGGGCTACACGACGCCCTCTACGCTGGGGTGCCGGCGCCCTACTGGGCGCCCCCCGCTCCCTTCCCCTCAGAGCCCCCCATCCCACTAGCATTCCCCCGCGGGGACTTTTCTCTGCCTCCGTGGTCCCAGTCTTCGTCACTGAAGTCCATTGCCACGTGGAAATCTCCTCTTGCCCCCCACGATGGTAGCGACGCGAGGTCTTTATGGCCGGGCTGGATAAAATGCCACTCAGGCCCACTCGCTGCGGCATGAAGATCCGTCAGGAAGGTAGGTAGGTTTGCCGTCATTAGAGACGGCCATCCCGCATTAGAGACGGCCCTGATCCCCGTTTGTGCCGCGTTTGTGCCCCGTTTGTGCCGCGTCCCGTGCCCCCGAGTTCATTTTAAGAATGTGATCAGCTCCATGCGATCTCGGATATTTTTCGTAGGCACCGGAACGCCAAAAAACTACTATGTCTTCGAGTGCGCCGGTTCTCTTCGCGAACTATTTTTTCTTTTTTTGATGTATGTAGCTCTTACGAACATACCCGTAGGTGAACTGCTGACAGGGTTTGCGATGAGGAGCGATCCGAACGTGGTATTCGGGTGATTAGATCACTACCGCCGAAGCGCAAGCGCTTGGAGCAAGGGAACTGCCACGTATGGGTCCCAGACTAGCACCCCACCTCGCGGGCCGACGTTCTGGCCCAGCAAGGCTGCTGCGGAGCACTCGGGGCCGATGTTCTGGCCCAGCGAGGCCGCTGCGGGGCACCCGGCGGCTCGGTTCGCTCATCAGCGCAAACTCGGTCGAGCAGAAAGTAAGGTGTGTGTGTAAAGGCGGCGCGGCACGGTAAGGGTCGGCGGTAAGGCGGCGCGGCGGCAGCAGGCGGCAGGCAGGACATCGGACGGCGGGACATACGGCGCGGCGGGCGCGGCACTGTAGGAGCGGCCGCGGTACGGCGGCACGGCGGTAACGGACGGCAAGGGGGGGCGGCAGCAATAATATCGTTGGCCGAAGCTTCGTTGGCCGAAGCCTCGGTTTTTTTGTACCGGCCGTGAACAACTTTTTTGGGGGCGGGGGTGTGGGTCGTGGCGAGGCTCCCTCGCAGGACGCACTATTTCGATCACCCCACAACAAATGACGCTGGATCCTAGTCACTCCTCAACTTCAGGTAGCGGTATGCACCTCGCGCCTCGTGCGAGAACCAGCCCTGGCTCCAAAAGTAGAGAAGGACAACCGACCCCATGGTGACGAAGATCGCCCAAAACAAGTAGTAGCCGTACTTCAGCTGCAGCTCGGGCATGTTTTCGAAGTTCATGCCCCAGACCCCTGACATGAACTGGCCGGGGATGAATATGGTTGTCACGATCGTCAGCGTGCGCAGCACTTGCTCCTGGTGCGATTCCTTGCAGAAGCGGTACAGCTCGACCAGCGACTCGGCCTTGCGCGCCATGCGCTGGATGTCATCAACAACATACTGGAGGTCGTCCCGGCTGCGTCGCAGCTGCGTGAGGTCGGAGCTAAAGAACAGCGAGACGTCCGAGTCGGAGCGGTCGAAGGCGGCCATGTCGTTGTTGAGCGGGATGAGCGCGCCGGCAAACTCGTCGAGCACAGAGCGGATGTCGTGGAGGTGCTGGACATGCAGCGGCTGCGGCCGAGTGGTGATCTCGTCGTCCAGCGTGTTGAGCCAGCGGTCGATGACGTGCCTGAGCGCGCGGGCAGAGGGTGGTGCGCAGAAGGGAGGCCCTCCTAGTGAGCGACCCGCAGCGAGCAGCGGCGCCGGTTGTAGTCGAGCGCGTCGATGACTGAAGCTAGGACCGCGCACGCCAACGAGGCCGAGTCGGTCGTGAGGTAGGGCTGCGCGCCTTGCGGCAGCGAGGGCAAGGAGACGGAGTTTCGCCTCCGGCCGTGCCGTCTCGCCTCGCGCCTCCTTTCATCCATGTCCGCCATCAGCGTCTTGCGCGTCCGGTCGAGGATGGCGGCGGGGTCCATGTTGAAGACGCCGTAGCCCAGGCTACGCCAGTACCCCCGGTGCTCGCGCGCATCCGGGCTGCTCTCCTCTGGCGCGTGCTGCACGTACCTGCTCGTCCGCACCCTCTCGTGAGCACTCGTGCGCCGGGCCTCCGCTCGCCGCGGCTCTCTCTCTCTCTCTCTCTCTCTCTCTCTCTCTCTCTCTCTCTCTCTCTCTCTCTCTCTCTCTCTCTCTCTCTCTCTCTCTCTCTCTCTCTCTCTCTCTCTCTCTCTCTCTCTCTCTCTCTCTCTCTCTCTCTCTCTGTGTGTGTGTGTGTGTGTGTGTGTGTGTGTGTGTGTGTGGTGTGTGTGTAGTGTAGTGTAGTGTAGTGTGGTGTGGTGTGGTGTGTGCGCGCCCCCTCCACCGCCAGCTCTGGCTTCCGGTGAGCAAGCCGCTGCGGCCGGCGCTGCGGTCGGCGGTGGCGGCGCGGTTGGAGACGGGCACGCGGATGTCGTCCTGGATGACGGTGAGGAGGACCTCCTCGGGGCAGCCGCCCGGCACGGAGCTCGCGGTGGGCTTGAGGCAGAACATCTCGATCTGCGACTGGATCAGCGTCGGCGGGTGCTTGTCCAGCGCCTTCTTGTCGTGGAGGCGGAAGCGGCCCGTGGTCTTGGAGCCGGAGATTGGCTCGCACGGGAAGTTTGCGATCGAGATCGAGTGGCACACGATGTGCGCAAAGGCGAGCGGGTCGGTGGAGATGGGGTTGTCCTCGGGAGGACCGGCCGGGCCGCTCGCGTCGGCGTCCGCCGCGACACGGCGATCAATCTCGAAGGTGCCGAGCTGCGTGATGCCGAGCCTGCGGGCGCCGCGGGGCCGCTGGGTCTCAGGCACGGGGCCCGTGAGACGAAGCTAGGGGGGCTGGACAGAGACAAGCACCCGAGGCCCGACGTGCGCGGCAGCCGGTACTCCTCGAGCAGCCACGCCGACATGTCCGGCTCCGCATTGCGCACGTCGATCCAGCGGCACGGCGAGAGCCAATGGCTCGGGATGGAGAGAGGTGGCTGACCCGTCACGTCCGCCTCGACAATGCCGTCTCCGGCTTGGCCCTCGCCCGACGCCCTCGCACCCCACACCACGTGGCGCTCCCTGCAGGCTGGCAGGTGCGAGTGCACATCCTCCGCCACGCGGACGGCGCGCGCGCTGTCGATGATTTGGCCGGTGGTGCGTCCCAGCAGTACCGCCTCAAACTCGACCTCTGACACGTCTCCCGTCCTGCCGACGTCCGCCAGCTGCATGTACTGCGCAAAGGTCGGCAGCGCGGCGTGGAACCTCCTCCAGCTGCTGTCGCCCTGCCCGACCACGCTCGTGGCCAGGGCCTCGTCAGACTGGAGCATCCCCATCCACTCGAGGGCCTCGCCAAACTGTGCCTTTGACAACGCGTGGTCCCGGTCGTGGTCAAAAAGGCGGAACAGCTGGTGCACCTGCGGCGGACGGGGAGGGGTGAGCAGCAGCACAGCACCCGCACAGCAGCAGCAGAGGCGGACGGCAGTGGCATGAGAGCATGCTGCCGCGCCGACGCACCGCAAGGGCAGTGAAGCCGTGCTCTTTGCCGGTCACGACCAGCTCCGCGATCTCTTGCCGCCTCCGCACATTGTAAAAGGAGGCCATCTGGGCGTTGAACGGGCTCGCCGAGGGCAACTGCTCATCAAGCGACGCAAGCGACGGCACCGATGACTGCGCCCTGGTGCTGTCCGCATGCGACACTTTAGACCTGGCCGGCGACAACGGACGGGTCGCCCTGCTCGATGACATCAGCGCGGAGAACGCCGCGCGTCGTTGACGTTGCCTTTTTTTATTTTTTTTTTTACAGGTCAGCCGAATTTAAGATTTGAAGGCGGGGAGTCCGTTAGCCTTAAAATCTTGAAAATGTGTGAACGGACAGCTAAAATCTTGCGAAAATGCGCCCCAGAGCTCTAAAATCTTGGTCTAAAATCTGAAAATCGCCGGCCTGCGGCCGGCCTCTAAAATCTTAAATTCGGCAGACTTGTACCCTCGAATTGCGAGGAGCGGCTATGAGCCGTGCAGAGATTCCTCGTCCTCTTTTCAGAAGAAACCCAGAGCGCGGATGGCCGCATCTTTGATTTGCCGAGCCCCGAACTCTGTGTTCACAGACCTTGTTATTGAGAAGAAAATATTGATAAGGTGACCTGGAGTTCACAGCCTTGTTATGAGAAGAAAATTCGTCTCTTGAAAATTCGTCTTGTCCTTTCGCCTGCGGAAACGTTCAGGGACCCCTAGATGTTACCCCGGAAGCTCCGACGAGTTGCCACCTCCAGGGGTCACCTGCACGGCGCATCTTCGCTATGCCCCGCCACAGACACCCAAGCTATACGGCGCCGGACTGCCCCCCCCCCCCCCCTCCTCCCCCCCGCCCCCCGCCGCGCGCCCCCTCCGTCCCGGCCTTGGCATTCACAACGCCTTGGCACCCGGCCCGCGGCCGGCTCCGCCTCGCCTCACCACTGACGGTTACTCGATCGTGTTCAACGACGTTGAACAGTGTTCAACGTCGTTGCACACAAGTGGAGAATGGCCGTAGCTCCCTGCGAGAGGTAGTGTTATCGGACACGGCTCCGGGCTCTGATGCTGTGAGCCCCGGACCCTCCTTGCGAAGCACACACGCCGGTGTGGAAGGGGGAAGTCCGGAATCGCCGAGAGCAGCGCGTGGGAGCATGGCCTCGCGCTGGGAAAACTCTTTTGTCCTACTCACTCTTAGCCTTAAATCTCCCTTCTGCATCTTTTGAATCGGTCCATCCTGCCGCGCTGCGGCTTGCTTGGCCCTGGCCTCGTCCCGTGTTGCCTTCTCCCTCTCTAGTGCGTGCACGTCCCTCGCCACAAGAGCCGGATAGTTATTGTCAAGCCAAGTCTGCTGATCTTTCGAAATGGTAAGCCCGGAGAAGCAGCCCGGAAAGCACCGGAGGTTGATATTCAGCTGAACAACCTTCGTTCGGTTAGGGACGGGACGGGGAACTTTTGCGAGTGGGCAGGGGACTGCAGGGGGACAGGGGGAGGGAGGCCCAGCCAGGGCCCAGCGAGGGGCTGCGGCTGGATCCTACTGCGCGGCTGGACTAAAGACGCACTAAACCTCGCTAAATCTGGATGTAAAGTCGCAGTGAACTCGCGCTAAATTTGCGCTGAATTCGCGCTAAATTTGCGCTAAAGTGCACTAAAGATGCAGTACATAAGAGGGCTCCCGCGGCGATCAACACCGCAACTCCTTTTCTAAATTTCACCAGAGAGGGGCTTGTATTCGTAGACACAGTACGCGGCAGCGCCGACACGTCAACCCGCGTGTACGTCAGCGACGGGTCCCGCACGCCGCACGAGGCGCATGCGTGCAGCGGCAGCGCGTGCGCCATGCGCTCGTCGCTCCACTCGCCCAGCAGCCGCCGCTTCGTCTCGTCGGAGACGTGCACGCAGCGCTGCAGCAGCGCCGCCGTCTCGTCCTCGGGCCGCTCCAGGTCCATGACGACGTTCGTCGAGGCGTGGAAGCGCGTCTCCAGGTCGATGGCCGCCTGCTCGGCCGCGGCGAGCTTGCCCTGGTCGACGCACATGCCGCACACCGCGTGCGCCGGGCAGCCGCACTGGCCGCGTTGTGGGCGCACGGTCTTGGCGACCGCCGGCGCTGCGCGCCGGTCGTGCTGCTCACGCTGCCGGCGGCGCTGGTCGCGCGCCTGCCGATCGCGCGTGTTCGCGGCGGCTGCATCTCCTGCTCGTTTCGCTCGCACCCGAGCGGCTGTCGCCAGGCGCTTCAGGTCGGCGGTGCTGCGCGCGCGGCCGTCGGCCAGGCACAGCCACATGTCCTCCTCCTCGGCAGGCTCGCACGGCTTGCCGTCGAACTGCGGCTGGCGCCCGCGACGATGCTTCGCCCAGGCCGGGCACGATGGTGCCGCGACGAGCGGCGTCGAGGCGACGGCCATCGATGGGTCCAGAAGACTTGGAGACAGTTCTCGCCCAAAAAATCAAAAAACCGAGCACAATTGCGTTACATGGGCATGGCCGGGGTTTCTGCACCGAACGATCTTACTTTCGGTCTATCGAAAGTGTTGATCGATAAACACTTCACACCGCACTAAATTTAGACCCAGGCGCCCTCCAGTGCGGAGCAGGGGTTGCAACGGAGCAGAGCTGGAGGCGTCACACCGCAGCAGCGAGGAGAGCCGGTCCACAACTGGCGGCATGGCGCGCTGGCCCGGCTCGCTGGTGCGCCCTCTGCGTAGCGGGCTCTCTATAGCCCGCGGCAGCATTGGTGGGAGCAGCGGCGGCGGCGGCGGCGATAGCGGCGGCGGCGACAGCGACAGCGGCAGCGGCGATGCGCCAGTTGCGCTCGTGCTGACGCATGCCCTCGGCTTCAGCAAGGAGTGCTGGGCGCCTGTGCTGGAGGATCTTGCGCCGCTGCTGACGCGCCGGGTTGAGTGGGTTGCGCTCGACTTCTCCGGCCACGGCGCGTCAACATCGTCTCCGCCGACGGGGCGGTGGGACGAGTACCACGTGGCCGAGGCGCGGGAGGTGCTTCAGTCGGAGCTGCGTGCTGTCGCTCCGGCGTCGCGCACCGTCGGAGTGGGCCACTCCATGGGCGGCGCCGTGCTGGCTGCGCTCGAGCTGCGCCAGCCTGGCTCGCTTGCTCGCGTGGCGGCCATTGAACCGCCCATCTTCCCGGCCGCCGTCGGCCGGCTCGCGCGCCTGCTCACCTCCGCAGGGCTGAACCCGCTAGCCAACGCCGCGGCGCAGCGCCGCCGCGCCTGGCCGAGCGCGGCCGCCGCGCGGGAGCACTTTGGCTCGCGCATGGCGGCCGGGTGGGACTCTCGCTCGCTCGACGCCTTTCTCGGCGGCGCGCTGAGGGACGCTCCGGGAGGCGGCGTCGAGCTCTGCTGCGACCCGGCCACCGAGGCGCGCTGCCTCGGGCTGCCCCTCGTCGCCAGCGAGGTGGCGGCGGGGTACGACGGAGGCGCCGCCGTCACGCTCGTCACCTGCTCCGCGTCGCGCTTCTCGCCGTTGCTGCTGCCGGGCAGCGGTCCCGCCGCCTACTCGCTCGTCGCGCAGACGCTGCGCGCGGGCGTGGTCCGACTGCCAGGGGCGAGCCACCACCTGGTCGTGCAGGAGCAACCGGCGCTGGTGGCGAGGCTCGTAGCGGATGAGGTAGCTGCGATCGTCTAGAGGCGGCGCGCGCAGGTCGGTCGTGGCTAGTGCCATTTCACTGTGGCACAGCTCGCGTTACAAAACCTTGATTTTGACCATTTGCGCACTATTGTACCTCTCGGTGTCGCAGCTACCTCGCTGCGCGTCCCCTGAGTCACGCGAGCGTCCTGTGGGGAGGTACATTTGTTGCGCGCCGGAGACGACTCGACGTCGCTGAGATCGGAGATCAAGCTCTGACAGGTCGCACGTCGCTCCTTTGACGCCGACGTGACTCACCCGTGCAGATCACATCATGACATGGTCTCGACGCGCTCGGTACGACGCCTGCGACCCGTCTCGGGTCAGGTGGCACGATGCTCATCGCGCCTACCAGCGCTGCCGTGCAGGTTGCCACGACGAGGTCGAGCACGCTTCTATACGCTCGCCGAGCCTTTCTTTCCATCCCATTAGGCAGCCTGGGAACGGTGGCGGTCAGAGGCAAAGCCTACGAGGGGTGGTGGAACCACATGTCACGGCTACTGCCGGCTCGACCCCACGATAGCCTCCGAAGGGCGAAGGCTGACTTTGCGGCACCATCATCGGACGATGTCGACGAGTTGGGTCGCTCTCGCGGTAGCCAGATGACCTCTCATACTAGGATCATCGGCCATGGCCGCAGGGAGCGCGGGGGAGGGCGCTGGAAGTAACACGGAGCTCCGTTGGAGACGTTTTCAAGATTAGCGTGTCAGAGTGAAATGGCACTAGCCCGTATGGATTCACACACTCTTTATCACTTCCCCGATGTGTTTTCTAATGATAATTTATGAGAAACATTTCACAATTTTTTTAATCGTCGTGCCTCTGAGCGCTACGTGGGCATGATGGCTGTCACGTGCTTCTCGGACAGGAGCGCGGCAGCTTAGACCCCCCCCCTCGAGGAACGAGGACCCCCCCTCCCCCCCTTGCAAAACTGTTGCTGCTCCCGTCTGCGTCTGGTGGTTCGGCGGCGGCGGGTGCAGCGCAGAAATATGCCTCTCTGCAGTGGGTCTGGCAGTGCGACTGAGCCCTGGCTGTGAGGCTGTCAGGTGCCGTCAGGTGATCTGTCGGGCTGTCGGGCAGCTGTCAGGCACTGTCAGGTGCCTCTGTCAGACCAGCTGTCGGGTGCTGTCAGTGCTGTCAGTGCTGTCGGGTGCTGTCGGGTGCGTGTCTGACATCAGAGGGGATCTGTAGCTGTCGGTTGCTGTCGGAGCTGTCGGGTGTTGCTGTCAGACACTGTCGGAGCTGTCAGAGCTGTGTCAGGCTGCTGCTGCTGTCGGACGTTGGGCTGTTGCTGTCAGGTGCTGTCAGGTGGTGCTGTCGGGGTGCTGTCAGGCTCTGACACACACCAGCCACACTTATGACACTATCAAGAGGATACCAGCAGGACTCTACTACACATACTCAGTCTCTACTCTGCCTCCGGTCCCACCATCCTTTTCATGGTGGACGTCACCATCTTCTTGTCTGCCGCACTGAGAGAATAGCAGAGAGGCAGGGGGGAGTGCTTCTTCAGGTACACCTTGCTGATGATCTGGTAGCTGCTGGTCCAGCGGAAGGCCTCCCCATCGTTGTCGCTCGTCAGCTTGTAGTACTTGCACGCTCTGTTCTGGTAGCGCGGGCCGTCTGGGGGGGTCCCGTCACCCTTCACCTCACGGTACCACCGGAGGATAAATAGGCCCTTGGGGTCGTTGATGAAGACCCCGTTGCTGCGCTGACTCATCGAGAGCTGGCGCAGGTACTCTGCGCTCGAGCTGCCAGTGGCGCGGCGCGCGTCTACCGTGCCGTCGGCGACGGCCACCTGCTCGATGTTGCCAATGGCAAAGACCTTGGAGCTGTCCTCCATGGTGAAGAGCACCGCAACTGCGGAGAGAAAGAGAAGAGGGAGAGATGAGAATGCACGTCTTATGTGTGTGTGTGTGACAGGCGGCAAGGGCGTGGTCACCGTCATCATCATCCATGTAGAAGTCGAGCTCCTCATCCACATCCTCGCCTCGCTGCTGATGGGACTTGATGAGCCGCTTGACGTGGAAGCGGAGCTTGCGATCCTTTGACTCCTCCTGGATGGAGACGTTGAAATCTGCCAGCAGCTTACGGATCTCCTCAAAAAACTCTGCGCTGCTGCCCTCCTCGCCGCCGGTTGGAGGCGCCACGTTGGCCCCCGTCCGCATGAGCAGGCGGACATCGCTCCAGGGAGGGGGGCGTGCTTCTGCTCACGCTCCACCCCCCCCTTAGCATGTGGTGAAGGCGCTGGGGGGGTCGGGACCCCCCCCCTAGCATGTGGTGAAGCCTCTGGGGGGGGTCGGACCCCCCCCCCTAGCATGTGGTGGGCACCCCCCAGCAGTTCGTGGGCTAGGAATAGCCGCCAGAGAGCCGATTTTGCCCCCAAAGTTGTGAAATCGTGGCTGAAAGTCCAATATCTTGGAGAATCTGACCAGTCTCAAGGCTCATGTAGCTCCAAAGGATGATTTCCCCCTCGAAAATGCTGCGAAATGAGGCGTAAAATCAAGGGCCCGGAGGGTCTGACCACGAGTCTCTGGGGGGGTCCTCGGCCACGACCCCCCCCCCTAGCATGTGGTGAAGGTGCTGGGGGGGGCGGGACCCCCCCCCTAGCATGTGGTGAAGCCTCTGGGGGGGGTCGGACCCCCCCCCTAGCATGTGGTGTGAGCAGAAGCACGCCCCCCTCCCTGGAAGCGATGTCCGCCTGCTCCATCAGCACTTGGTTCAGCACGGCCTCGGCATCTGCAGCATCCTGTGCGCCCATGGCGGTCAGCTCGGCCGGCTCAGCATCGGGTGTGCCGTTTGATCATCCTCCTTCTCTCCCGGCTCCTCCAGCAACGCGCCACCCTGGACATAGGTGTCAGCCAGAGGAAAGTGCAAGCACGGCTGCTTGAAGAAGCCGGTCTGTGCACAGAGGTTGGCGCGGACTCCACAGAATCGAAGGCGCGGACCACATACACATGTCTTTGCATGTAATAGTTTTGCTATACCCTCATGGGACACAAGAAAGATGCTGCACGGCCTGAGTACGGTCTGTGCTGCTGTCGGGCTGGTCGGGCTGTCGGGCTGTCAGCGCTGCTGTCAGGCCGCTGTGTGCTTGTCGGGCTGTGTCGGGCAGCTGTCAGGCTGTCACGTTAGGGCCTGACAGCGACGGGACGCCTCTGATGTCAGGCTCTGCTGTCAGGCTGTCAGATACGTGCTGTCGCTGTCGGGCACTGTCAGGCGCTGTCCGGGGTTTGCTGTCAGGCTGTCAGACCAGGGACCAGGGGCAGGGCTCAGCAGTGCGACCGGGCGCGACCACGCGCTCGTCCGTCTCGTGCTTCGGCTGCCGGAGCAGCACCGGCATCGCCACGCGCGTACGACCAGGTGGCCGGTCAGCGTGGTACCGGACACGACTGGAGAGGCGGGCGCTCACTAGCTCGAAAAGATGGAGCCAAGGCTGTGAATAGGAAGCTCGGGTTGCGGCGTGTGTGCAGGGCAGTGCCGGTGAAGCATCGCCCCGGCGGCCCCTCGCCGCTCGCTGCTCGCCGAGGCAATGACAAGCGCGGCCACCGCGCCGGCTCCGGACGCGGAGAGCGACGACACGATAAACGGCCAGCGCGTGTACGGGTGCGAGCTCATCCAGCAGATGGGCATCATGCTCGCGCTGCCGCAGGTCGGGATAGCGACGGCGCAGGTGATGTTCCACCGCTTCTACGCGCGCCGGTCAATGCGGCGGTTCGACGTGCGTCACGTGGCGACGGGCGCGCTGTTCCTCGCCACCAAGGTGGAGGAGTGCCCGCGCAAAGTGCGCGATGTGCTCGGCTGCTTCCAGCACCTACTCAGCAAGCGCGCGGGCAAGCGGCCGGTGCCGCTCGACATCTTCTCGCAGGACTACGCCAACCTGAAGGACAAGCTGATCCGCGCGGAGCGCGAGATCCTCAAGGAGCTCGGCTTCATCCTCTACAGCGAGCACCCGCACAAGTTCATCCTCAACTACGTCAAGCTCCTCGCGCCGTCAAAGGAGCAAGAGCACGCGCTCGCGCAGGCGACTGGCTGACTGCACGAGAGAGACAGACCGACGGAGCGGCCTCAGACACGCACACGCACCCCACCGCCACCACCGCCCCCGCGCTCTCCTCCCTCCGCGAGCGCCCTGGCTCCTCCCTCGGCTGGCGGCATACGGAGGGGACCGCGCCTCTGCCCCCGCTCTCCCTCACCTCTGCCCCCGCTCGACCTCCCTGCAGGCGGCCTGGAACTTCATCAACGACTCGCAGCGTACGGACGCGTGCATCAAGTTCGCGCCCGAGGCGGACCCGCCGCGCCGGTGAGCCCGCGGCGACGAGACGCTGTTCACACCCCCGCCCCCCCCCTGCACAGGCGATCTGCTGCGCCGCGATCTGGTTTGCCGCGCGCACGCTGGGCAGCCTTTGGCGCCGGCAGAGCCTCTCCGCCCCTCGCCCGTCCCCCGACCCTGCCCTCGACCCTACCTGTAGGCATCCGCCTTCCGTCGGCAAACCTCCGCCCTGGCGCCGTGCCGCGCCCCTTCCCTCCGCCTCCACCCTCGCCGCCCCTCGCCGCCGCAGGACGCGTCGCCGCCCTGGTGGGAGCTCTTCGACACGCAGAGGCGAAGGGGGGGGGGTGGGGGGGGCGAGAGCCCCAGTCTCTGAGCCTGCTCTGAGCCTGCTCTGGGCCCTCCTGCAGGCAAGAC